TGGAATGCTAATGTATAATTGGGGAGAATTCAGAACTCCCAATAATCGTATTTTGCAAAGTAGATAAAATCGAGCTCAAAATGTGATACACCATTGGCGTATACAGGATTTTGGTTTGGGGGGGGCTGTGTCAAGAAAAAGTGGTGACCAAAGAAAAGCGCCGCAGGTTAAAAAAATTTTCGGAGCCACGCCCAATTTATGTCCGTAATTCATCCTAAACATACCGAAACGTTACGCGGGTATTCTCTTTTGTCGGCTCTCTTTCTCATCGGATTTTTTATTCCTTTTACTCTCAAAGAAAAGCATTGGGGAAGACTGCTTTCTTTTTTCCATCTTCTGGAAAAATATATGGATACAGCACTGCCGTCAATAGACAATAAAATAAACTTACCTATCAATTATTGAAACCTCAATTTTCCTCAAAAAAAATTAGTATAATAGTATAGTAATAAACACAGTGAAACTGATACACTCTTATTATTACACTTGGAAGAGGCTTTTTCCTTTTTAATACTTTGTTCAGCGAAAAAAACGGCAAATACCGAGGCAAATACCTACGCCTACTAAAATCGTAATAGGTCGCGTGCACGATGACCGACCCTGGAGGCAAAATATCGAAACACAACCTCACTCTTCTGTGAATTATTGAAACACAACCTCACTTTTTTATTTGTTCACAGAGGAATCGAAAGGTTTAAATAGTTTTTCACAATATTTTGTCATACGAATCGTGTTTCTTGCAAATGCAATTTCACAAATGCAAAATTTTTGTCGCATAATTGATCTAAAAATCGTCCAATATAACGAGGAACAAATTGAATAGCAAGAATATATGGAGATAGAATATATGGAGATATTTTCAAAAAACCGTTTTTGAGCGCCATCTTGGCAAGATGGCGGCGCCGGCGGCATGTCCCGGAATGTGCATTTTCTGAATTTTAGTTCTGGACACCCAAAACTATAATCCTACAAAGTTTCAAAACTTCCGGACTTTTTTCCAGGTAAGCCTTATTTTGGATCCCCAATGACTGAACACCGAACGCGTGCCGCGGCGATGTTTTTTTGCTGTATATGTCTAGAGTGAATTTGCAAAGACTAAAATAATACTTATATATTTTCACACCAATTCCCCGTTTGTTTTCTATTAAAATGGATTCACCATTATGTTTCTCTACAAATTATTGATTAGAGAAATATTTATTTACTTAGAACAGATTTTCTTTTAATTTTCTTCAATTAATGTCTTGTCTCAGTTATTCCGTCAGAAAATATCATCTTATGGAGGCAAATATTTCTGATATCATGATCTGCTACTCCAAATCAGTAGCACATCATCAGTATTTTTTTTCTGTACAAGCACTGTTCATCATAATATAATATCAAAATTTATCAATAAATCAATAAAAATATAAATAACAGTATCTGATGATTCACCTATTTATTTGATTGATAGATATCTCTTGAAATTGTCATTAGTAAAACGCCGTCGGCCTACAAAAAAATACTCAAAGTATTGGTCCATGTTTTCAAAAACAGTTTAAGAACCCTACAATATATAAATCTCAGTAATTAATCGCCAGTTAATCAATTAATGATCATTGCAGAGCCTCATGTTGAAAAATTGGAGTGATAAGATATATAAAATGAGGTCTCGTGTATATTCTTCCAAAGAACCGTAGTAGAGATTCAGGATATTGAAGACTTGAAAAAATATGAATTCGATATCATTCACCTCTCGAAAAAAAATTCCTATGATTGTCTTGATATTTGATAAGTTCTATTGAAATAACAAAATGATCAGAATTTGTTTTATCTATCAAAAGGTGTCATAAGCACCGGATGAGTATCAGAATCGAAGAATATGTTCCACCACTATTTTTCTGAGCTTAATGCCTCCTTTTTATTTGCTTGAGAGAAATGTATGCTTGAATTTTGTCATAATGTTATGTGTAACACCGTGCAGATTTTGTTGGAAATAAAATCATAATGATATTTTTTTTTTTCATTTAATCTGACAAAAGCGCTTCAATAACGATAATTAATGTTTTTACTACCGACATTTCCAAAGATGAATATCCAGAATCTAAAACTCTGAAAATTATGAATTTCTTTAATACTTCATATGTCTATGAACTTTTATGTCACGATCTCCCATACTTCCATATTTCAAAATAAATGATATTGAACCAAATTTTTCTATCTGCTTTTTCACACTATATCATGAAGGAGGATAATAAGATGATTTAGGCATCGTCCACCAAAATTAGAATATTGGTGGACGATGATTTAGGTATAGAAAACTACCTACCGTTGCGGGTGTGCTGTGTGATAAAGATATAATAGTCGATATACGATTTTTTTGAGAAAACCATCTCAGAACTACCATCAGATTTTTTCGATAGTATTTTGTTTTTCAAATAATCGAGAAAAACCAATATGTTGCGTTTTGGCCATCCCCTGTATCTCCGTTATTTGAAAACTCACGACCGAGCTCACGACATTCATAATATGGGCACCATATTGTATTTTTATTGCATTAAATAGAAATTTCAATCCTCCTTTCGAAAATGTATCACTATAACATACCATATTCTTCTGAACGAATACATCAGAAATAAACGAATCTGAAAATTTCCATAAGAAAAAACAATGCTACTGTCATTATCTCGAAAACGCAGGAAGATATTTCATTGTTCTATTTTTTATTCAAAAGTTCTTGAAAAAGTGCTCACGAAATGTCTGAGCCAGAATGCCGTAAGTTTTCAAATAACAGAGATACAGGGGATTGTCAAAAACGCACCACTTTGGTTTTTCGCAATTATTTCAAAAACAGAAAATGATCGAAAAAATCTGATGGCAATTCTGAAATAGTAATAGAATTCTGAGAAACATTGCTCATTTGAACGACTGTGTAGCTCTTATAATAACCGAGATAGCAATACATACAGCACCAAACTGGGACAAAGTGTATAGCAAAACAACGTTTGCCTGGAATATAAATAGCGTTTCATTTCACCCTAAAATGCCCTATGCTTTTAATTTTATAACCGTACCACCCGTACTGACCCTGACCACCGCGCCCAAGTGGTTCTAAAAATAGATAAGATGAGATAAGTAAAATGAAAATAACCAGCGGGCCAAATCAACACCCGTATACATGCTTGCGGATTCGCCGTGGAAGGGGTTCTGAATTCTCTGCCTACCGCCGTCACCCTCTCGCACCTCATTCCTCAGGTGATCGCACTAATTACTTTTTTACCATAATTATAGTGAGGTACCCAGTAACAGGTAGAAGACTGTGATTATTTTTCCGTAATGTGAAATTCTCAACATGTTTCATTGTATTCTTTTTTATTCTGAGCGCCATCTAATAATGATAATTAGAATCAAAATTTTGCAACGCCATCTATAAGACAGAAGCTGAACTAATGTACCCCTGAATAGGCCTGAATTCAGACACGATTTATGTAGGTCGCCACCAATTATCGACGCCATATTGTTAATTTTGGATTTTTTCCCGTTTTCTTTGGAACGGTGTGATTTTGGAAGCCAGAATTTGGGCAGGGCATGGCATTTTAGTGTATCTAGGAGTTAAACCAATTTTCATTAAAATCTGTGACACAAAATTTTCCAATGTTTACATTTTTCAGTCATCGCCTGCTTTCTTCAACAAACGAGATTGATTTCGAAAATTACTTTAACTCCTAGCTTGAGCTTTCGTCCTTACGATCATCCAAACCGTTTTTCATTTGGACTTTTCGTTTGGCAGAAAATGGGGCTGGAAAATAGGTCTGCATAGCGATTGTCGTGAATCGTCGGTCTTAAGCAGTCATCCCAATTTATAATTTTGTGTTTAATAAAAATGTTCTTTGAAATTATTGGTATCAGTTTATTTCATTAGAAAATTGTTTCTCGATAAATTCAGAAAGTTGGTAATCTGCAAGGATTCAGCAAAAAAAGCTGTAATTCAGAAAATTTTTTGAGATAAATCAATGAATAAAAAAACAAAATGCTCGCAAAAGAAGTCTCTTTCGTATAGGGTGTAAGCACTTTCTATGCCATTACTCAATTAACACACAGGGTGAGTCAAAAATTAAGAATAAATCATGGTTCGAGTTATTCCACCACCATCAAGGAGGCTTTGAAAAAATTTTCACCTCTTTATTTATTTTTCAAAGACAAATGCATTACCTACCAACAAATAAAAAAAATAAAAATCGGCCTATTTTTTTTCTTTTTTTTAAGAAGATAGGTCAAATATCAGGTGCGTCACTTTTTTTGGAACTGAGTATTTTGAATGTAATGTAATACATTATGGTTTATTTTTAATGTTCCCTGTTATAAACATATATGTCAATTGTTTCTTGGGAATAATAAAGATGATGATGATGATACGGTCACATCATTCTCACAATTTGCCAAACTCTGAAGTTTTTTGTTTCATACGACAATATTCATAAAATGGTAAATGGTAGTCTCTGGATTGCAGGAAAAATTGAATCTTTTGGAATAAAATTGTAAACTCTCAAATATAACCTTATCATAGGGACGTTAGCACAAATTAGCAAATGTAAATACTGCTGGCAGATTACTTCAACGTAAATATGTCAAATCTTTCTCAATACTAATAGCTGACAAGTCACGAACCCAGCGGTAATGATGACAGAAAACTGATGTAAAAATTTTTATATTTTCTTTTCTCAGAAAGTATCAACTATTGTAGTAGGCACTCTACGACTATCAAAATGTGTGCCTACTGGTTTAATGATATTGAAAATGATCAATGTTACAATATAATTAAACGTAGAATATCTAAAAATAAAGGGATGGGTTTATTTCCTCATTGTCCACTACCTACAGATGATTCCAGTAACGGTACCTCGACGGTACTTACACTGTGCAATATTTCCGATTTGATCTGAGGTTTCGGCTTCAAATTGATTGAAATAAATGACTCATTTTCAAATAAACTGATCGACGAGCTGGTAAAACAAACTCACCTGAGCTCTCAAATCCGATATAGTGACGAACTTCTTCAGTACATTCTTCGGTAAGATGTAAGTATAACCAGTCTCCTTGATGTCATCGGAACTAACGTAGATGTGATTGGTCCTCAAATGTAAATTCGTAGCGGATATAGCTCGGACTCGCCATTCCGTCTTCGAACTGAAAGTCTGCGTTTCATAGTTGCTGGTCGTGCTGGTGATGATTTCGTCGCCATGTTTGTTCACTGTTCTTGTTGTCGTGGCGGTGAGTTGGGACTGTTCTTTGGTCTGCTTTTCGATTTCGGCGATTTGCTGTCTTTGCGCAGACGGGGCGCTGATCTCCATCCCGAGGATTATGTCACGGATTTCAGATTGGGTGAGAGATGCCACATTCACGCTATCAAAGGTCAATTAATCAAAAACGTATTCACTTTTCAATATTGACATAGTAATACTACAATTATTGAATGAGAACTACAAACTAGTTCACAGATTTCAGATGATTTTCTTGAATATTCTCATTCCACTGCTGACCAAGTGGCCAGTGGCCCCTAGACGGTTACCTGATTGATATATATGTTGAAAATCATTGTGCTCCATTGATTTTTTTACAAGTTTCATATTGTTATTTGAATAGAAGATATAAACTTTCATTTTCCATGAGTTTTTTCGTATCTTGCTTAGTTTTTAAATAAAAATTCTAATGTAGGTTCATTCAAGACCTCCATTGAAATTACTTAATAGCGAGAATGAGAACGATTCGGAGATTTTGAATTTTCTCATTATGAAAGCTTATACAGGCGGATAACGAAAGAAGTCATATATTATCTCTCAAAAACTAAGCTCTGAAACATACAAAATTTATATGAACGTTTTTTATCTTTGGGACTGTGCTTTGGTTTGTTTTTATATTTCGACATTCTGTTGTCTTTGCGCAGATCTCCATCCCGAGGATTATGTCGCGGATTCCAGATTGGGTAGATACCACATTCAAGCTATCAAAGGTCAATTAATAAAAAATGTATTCACTTTTTATTATTGACATCATAACATTGTGTCAGTAAAGCTACTATTCGATCTTGTATTGTCTTTTTAGTTTGTTTCATAGGATTTTAGATGAATTTCTCGAATATTTTCATTCCAATATTTTATTTAGTAAGATATTTGAAGCAATATGATATTTTTTAGAGAATACATGTAGCCATTGACAGTTTCATACAAAAAATAATATATTTTATTAATTATAATGAAGAATGCAAAATCCCAAGTTGTATTCAATGGAATTGATTTGAAAAATTGAAACAAACCATAATCTATAGAAATACAGAGTTTTCAAATCATTGTTGTTTTATTCAATTTGTCCTATATAAATTGAAAATTTCGAATTTAAATTTCAATGAAATCAATTCATTACATAATCATGGAGCAAGACAATCAAATTTACTAATAGCAAATACGTTCAAGTCAAATATCGGCAAACAATCAATTTTTCACACAGGAATCGTTCTATACAACTCATTACCAAGTCAATTGAGGAATATACAGAAAGCAACTAGATTCAAAATTAAGACCGACGATTCACGACAATCGCTATGCAGACCTATTTTCCAGCCCCATTTTCTGCCAAACGAAAAGTCCAAATGAAAAACGGTTTGGATGATCGTAAGGACGAAAGCTCAAGCTAGGAGTTAAAGTAATTTTCGAAATCAAACTCGTTTGTTGAAGAAAGCAGGCGATGACTGAAAAATGTAAACATTGGGAAATTTTGTGTCACAGATTTTAATGAAAATTGATTTAACTCCTAGATACACTAAAATGCCATACCCTGCCCAAATTCTGGCTTCCAAAATCACACCGTTCCAAAGAAAACGGGAAAAAACCCAAAATTAACAATATGGCGTCGATAATTGGTGGCAACCTACATAAATCGTGTCTGAATTCAGGCCTATTCAGGGGTACATTAGTTCAGCTTCTGTCTTATAGATGGCGGTGCAAAATTTTGATTCTAATTATCATTATTAGATGGCGCTCAGAATGAAGAAGAATACAATGAAACATATTGAGAATTTCACATTACGGAAAAATAATCACAGTCCTCTACCTGTTACTGGGTAACTCACTATAATTATGGTAAAAAAGTAATTAGTGCGATCACCTGAGGAATGAGGTGCGAGAGGGTGACGGCTAAGGCACAGGCTAAGGTGACGGCGGTAGGCGGAGACATCAGGGGAGGTGGTGATTTGGCCCGCTGGCCACTGCCACTAACATTTCATTATTTTCATTTTACTTATCTCATCTTATCTATTTTTAGAACCACTTGGGCGCGGTGGTCAGGGTCAGTACGGGTGGTACGGTTATGAAATTGAAAGCAGTGCATTTTAGGGTGAAATGAAACGCTATTTATATTCCAGAAACTCAGCCATTCGTTAGAATGACCAGTTTTGCTATACACTGTGTCCCAGATTGGTGCTGTATGTATTGCTATCTCGGTTATTATAAGAGCTACACAGTCGTTCAAATGAGCAATGTTTCTCAGAATTCTATTACTATTTCAGAATTGCCATCAGATTTTTTCGATCATTTTCTGTTTTTGAAATAATTGCGAAAAACCAAAGTGGTGCGTTTTTGACAATCCCCTGTATCTCTGTTATTTGAAAACTTACGGCATTCTGGCTCAGACATTTCGTGAGCACTTTTTCAAGAACTTTTGAATAAAAATAGAACAATGAAATATCTTCCTACGTTTTCGAGATAATGACAATAGCATTGTTTTTTCTTATGGAAATTTTCAGATTCGTTTATTTCTGATGTATTCGTTCCGAAGAATATGATATGAATGCAATAAAAATCCAATATGGTGCCCATATGAATGCCGTGAGTTTTCAAATAACGGAGATACAGGGGATGGTCAAAACGCAACATATTGGTTTTTCTCGATTATTTGAAAAACAAAAAACTATCGAAAAAATCTGATGGTAGTTCTGAGATGGTTATAGAATTCTGAGAAACATTGCCCATTTGAAATACTTTGTGGCTCTTATAATAACCGAGATAGCAATAGGTATGTACACTTCTTCTCAAAAAAATCGTAACGACTTCTGTCTTGATTTCCTCGAAATAACTGCTCGTGCCGCCACGGACTATTATATCATTAATTGATTAACTGGCGATTAATTACTGAGATTTATATATTGTAGGATTCTTAAACTGTTTTTGAAAACATGAGTATTTTTTTGTAGGCCGACGGCGTTTCACTAGTGACATTAGTGACAATTTCAATAAAAAGATATATATCAATCGAATAAATAGGTGAATCATCAGATACTGTTATTTATATTTTTATTGATTTGTTGATAAATTTCACTGCGGTGACACTCTTCATATCCGAGCAAATATTTCGTAAACCCTATATCGAAAGAAAAAATATTCAATTTGATATTATATTATGATAAACAGTGCTTGTACAGAAAAAAAATACTGATGTGCTACTGATTTGGAGTAGCAGATCATGATATCAGAATTATTTGCCTCCATAAGATGATATTTTCTGACGGAATAACTGAGACAAGACATCAATTGGAGAAAATTCGAAGAAAATCTGTTCAGTCAATAAATATTTCTCTAATCAATAATTTGTAGAGAAACATAATGGTGAATCCATTTTAATAGAAAACAGAAAAGGGGAATGGGTGTGAAAATATATAAGTATTATTATAGTCTTTGCAAATTCACTCTATACCTTTTCAACTTCAATTTCGGAATCGGTAAGTTATATTTCGGAAAAAGTAACCTCGATTTCAGAATTGGTTAGTTCGATTTCAGAAATGGTAAACTCAATTTCAGAATCGGTGAGATGAATTTCAGAGAAAGTCCATTCAATTTCAGAAATGGTAAGTTGTATTTCAGAATTGGTAGGTTCAATTTCAGAAAATAAATCCTTATATTTGTTTGAAATGTTTCCAATTGCATGTGAGATTAACAAACCATATTTACAATATTCAACTTTTCAAAAACAATTCAAAACATAATTATAATCTCAATTTAATCCACAGATGTCTTCCATCCGAATCGCAGAAGGATAGTAGCGTTGCACATTTTTTTAAATTTTTTTTATCGCTTGGAGCGCACGAAAGGGAATCCCTATAATGTTATTTGAAGTGTTATCATTCTCATTGAATGATCTGCACATTCTTCAAGACATCGCAGTCTTAATTCTTTCTGGTTGAGCAATCTGTTCGGATCCCCAGCTATGACCCTATGGCGATGCTCTTGCAAAAAGCTCTTCACTTCATGACTTGAAGGCACTCCATTTATAATGTTCAATCGGATTCAACATAGGGCTGTAACGTGCCAATCTGCAAAATATAACATCTTGAAATTCTTCCTCCATGCATATCTCTTCTATTCTTGAATGTGCAGGTGCATTATCCAGAGCTACCACTATGGTATCTGCAGGATGTCCACTCTTAAACACCGTTCTATCCACTGTAAACAATCTTCTCTTTTGCAATTGAAAACATTTCAAACATATATAAGGATTCATCTTCTGAAATTGAACCTACCAATTCTGAAATACAACTTACCATTTCTGAAATTGAATGGACTTTCACTGAAATTCATCTCACCGATTCTGAAATTGAGTTTACCTTTTCTGAAATCGAACTAACCAATTCTGAAATCGAGATTACTTTTTCCGAAATATAACTTACCAATTCCGAAATTGTAGTTGAAAAGGTATAGACATATACAGCAAAACAACATCGCCGCGGCACGCGTTCGGTCTTAACTTTTTAAAGGAACCGATGGTCGTGATGGCGGATCTCTTCTGATCAAGTTATCTCAAGTGACTTTTCAAAGACTATATCATTTCATTTTCGAGGAGACTCTAGAAATATTGCATGAACTAAAAATGTAACCTGCCTAACCCTTTCTATAGGTAGACAATTTCCTAACGCAAATTTTCTGCGAATCAAAATATTTCCATTGTTCTATACATCTTCAACGACCTAATCTGCGAATTTGAGAAATAATTGATTCCTAGTATAAACAACACACTGTATATTATCAGAAATAGTATAAAATATGTGTTCAATTGGTATTTAAAGGAATCATGAAATTATTATATTTTTTCTGGTCATAGTAGAACATCGTACGTTTATTATAATAATAAATAATGCCCTGTATATGATATCATTGTGAAAATTTGACCACATGTATTTTAGAGAGTTGTAGTCAGATTTCCGCTAAAAAAATTTCCTGCTATTACTTACTGATTTTCTGCATTTTTATTTGTTCATAGGTGGCTGTGTTGAAAAGAAATGAGAGAGTTCAATATTCAGGAATGTAGATATCATTGAGTAGTACATGTTGAAAAAAAACTCTTGAAGTCGGTCACGGTCAGTGTATACGAAAATACGAAGGTGGTGCTGTTTAAAGTGGGACACACTGTATCTACCGTGGTCTGAATTGGACAATTGTGTATCACATTTTGAGCTCGATTTTATCTACTTGCAAAATACGATTATTAGGAGTTCTGAATTCTATCTATAAATATTTGAAGCGACACCTGTTGAAAATCTTTATAATACTAACATCGTCAACACGAAGAAACAAGAGAATTCTACATCGGTTTCTCGATGTTGGATTTTTATTCATGTTTATCACAGTTTGTTAACCGTAGCGACATCTCTTTGAAACGCCAGGCGAGTGCGGTGAATCGTTCGTCTCAACTTAAAAAAATATCTGCTTCAGAGACTTTGATAATTCCATTTCTTATTTGAATACCTACTTATAAAAGACTAGGTTGATATTGCATGATTATTTGCATTTTTTTTTTAACTTGTTATATCTTATTATAATTTCATAATTGTATGTATAACATTATGTATATTGTTTATGTATCCCTATTATAAACAACTATGTTTCTTGGGGTAATAAAGACAATCAATCAATCAAAATATTTGAAGGTTCGTTTTTGAGATACAAAGTTCAAAGGTTTTTTGAAACAAGTCGTTTTTAAAACTTGACTGATTTGTTTGATATGAAAATGTATATTTTGGCGAAATTAGATTCACCGAAATAATTCCAGTGGCACCCTAGACGGTTACCTGATTGATATTTATGTGCTCCATTGGTTTTTTTCTAATTTTCGTAATTTTATTTGATGTAACAATAGAATATACAACTTTCTATTTCCATGAGTTTCTTCATATCTTTCTTAGTTTCCAATAAAAATTCAAGTCATCTATTGATATTACTTGATAGCCAGAATGAGTACAATTAGGAGATTTCGAGCTTTGTCATTATGGGGATAACAGAAGAAGTTATATACTATTTCTCGAAAACAAAGCTTCAAATACTAAGTTTATATGAACTTTTTCAATTTGGGACTGTTCTTTGGTTTGCTTTTCGATTTCGATGATCTGTTGTATTGGCGCAGAAGGCCGTTGATCTCCATTCCGAGGATTATGTCACAGATTTCCGATTGGGTAAGACATACCACAGACTAGTTCACCAGCGATCTTGTATTGTATTTTAGTAACAATTTCCTATGATTTTAGGTGAATTCCTCGAATATTTTCTGTCCAATACTGCCTGCTAAGATAAGATACGCTCTATGAACCACAATCTATGTTCTGATATTTTCTTTACAAAAATGCATGTAGCTATTGACAGTTCCATACTGAAGGAAGCAGTATATTTTTATAATAATGGTGAAAAATGCAAATATCCCAAGTGGTATCCTAAAAATGATCAAAAAATTATAACAAACCACACAAATATTTTCAAAGAGGAGATGCTACTAAAGAGCTAATCGATTATGAGAACTTGTGAAGTATCATCAAAATAAGTTGAGAGTCCACAGCATATCAAAGTATAGTAAAAACAATGAACAAAACGGAGACAATTGGGAGACAAGATGGTGGGTGATATATGAAGGGTGTTCCATTTAGTGTTTAAGGAATTGAAATGAAGTCAAATACAAGAAATTTTCGGCTTGCAAAACAAAAATTTGTTATTTTCTGGACGGGAAAAAAGTTCGACATTTCATCTCTGTTGACAGTTTAAAAATGTCACTTTTCATAAATTACTTTTTACCCACTGAAATAAAGTTAGTACTTTTTTCCCGCATGTTGATGGATTTTATTATGCTAGTTCCGAAAAATAAGCCAATAACACCGTCTCCGAAAGAGAACTGCAAGTCCTTTTATCTTCCATTATACTTCGCGGTTAGGTAAATCACTAAAAACAACCACCAAGTTTACAATTTTTCATAATCAAATCACAATTATGTACGGATACAAGCACAAATAACCAAGTTGGTTCATAGGTGAGTTGCAGCTGCTGTGAACAGCATATAACAGGAATTTGAATTGTCCCCAAAAAGTTTGACATGTTGTTGACATGATTTCTATCATATCTTACATGATTTGCAGAGAGAATGATTTTGACACATACAGTGTTACCTAACTTCCATTCATAATCAATCCTGAAGCACTATATGCATCACCCTTTACATACATATTTGACATAAACCTATATCTTACTTATTTTTCTTTCCATAATCAGCAAGAATCAAATCCTTGAGTTGCACTTCAACCTTTATCCATTCATCGTCAGACAAAGTCGGCCAAATATGATGAGGTTCAGTTATGGTAGTCTTATCAGGTTTCAATATAACCTTGGTCCTTTCTGTGTTCACATGCAGAGCTCGTAGAATGAGAATCAATCTCGAGAACGCCTGAAACCAACAGAAACGTCAACTTCAACGAGACAAAAATGGTATTTCCAATACGATAGAATCTCTGAAATCGTCTAGACATTACTCCAAGCGGTCACTTGAGAACGTGAAGGATGGGAAAACTTATTTTTGATGGATTTTCATCAAATTAGTTTCACGCTGATAAACCTTATGTTTTGGTAATCTCGAATGCCCATTGAAATTATTCTTATAACTTATATTCAGAATTAGAGCAATTAAGGAATTTTCAGGCGGTGAATGGTCGAACTGAAAATGAGAAGAAAATCAGAAGAAGAATACATAACCTTCCGGATGAGTAACCTTAACAAATCAGATAATTCGCATTGTCTATAATAATTGCAATCAACACAGGAATTAATGAATACAACGAAAACAGCGCATATACAGACTGACTGACAACAAACGCCCCAAGCCATAGCGCCGCTATTAACTATCCGATTTTGAAAAACATGAGCAAATAAGATTACTCATCAAATACTCTGATAAGTATTTTTCAAAATACCAACTGTAACTTCAGCCAACTTTTTTTTTTCAACCGGAATCATGTTTTTGTTGTTTTTCCTGTTTGAGATTTTGTTTGTGAATACAATAATGAATGATAAGTTGACTGGTACAAAATTCGTTGAAAAAAATAAATAAATGCTCAGTTGTCAAGAAATTGACATTTTCATAAAATTGTGTATAATCAAATGAGCCAGTAAATGTCACTGGAATGAACGTAAATGTTTCAATTTAGCTCTCTCATTGTATCAATTAATTCCGATTGTATTGCATATTTTATTTATTATAATTTCTTTTTGTTTCCCTCTATAAACATTGTATATTTCTTGGGATCAATACATGTTTATTAAAGATATTTCGACACCACATGTATCTTTAAAGTGTGCTGTGAAAACAATTGAAATGTTTAAACTGGTCGTCGTTATGTTGAACACACATCTCACACCTTCAATTCAAGATCGAATTCATATTCAGTTTTATTTAGAAGGAAATGATGAGTAAATATGACTATAACATATTGTCATAATGATGTTATGAAGTTGTTCAACATAAGGATGGCCAGTTTGATTCTATTTTTCATCACGGCGCACTTCAAATGTGATGAAAGATCTGACAAATGGAACACTAACATTCATTTCAGTGACATTTACATTTGATGAAACATCTCAAAATTTTTGATTTTTCATTTCAACTAATTTTGTCCAAAAGTCAACTGATCATACTGTCGCAACTCAGATGGTTCTAGTAGGGTATATGGCATTTTTGAGAACAAACGGCGCCTCCACCACGTGTCGAAACTCAGATGGACCTTCACCACGTGTCGCAACTCAGACATCGCTTTTACTTCGATGCATCAAATTAAGAGTACTCGCTTGGCTATTTCGCAAGAATATTTTCAGTACTTCACCACCCAACCACATTCATCCCCAAATAAAGAGAACTGTTTCTCAGAAGTACAACAAACAATTTATTCAAAAGGGCGGAACAGCAAAGAACAAAAACGAAATGAGCGAACAACAGAAACAAGATGATGGTTCTTGGTACTAACATTATGTTATGGGCAGCAACACCAAAGTCGAGGAGATGTCACACCCTCAAAGTGGCATTGTGCCACTTTGGGAGGTCAGCAATCGATGAATGAGTGTTATGTACTGATTTTAATATAATAATTGGTACTGATGAATCGAAAAACGATTGAACTAACAATGACCATGTCTTATCGATTCGGGCTCTATTTATATTTTAAATCGATGCTAGGTTCGCAATTTTCCGCAATGGGAATGATCGTTACCGTTCGATACTGCTTACCTAGGTATTATCGCCCGGTAATCGGTTTCTGCAAATTCAAAAGGAACTGACGTCTATGAACTCCGCTGACCTGATCGAAACTACACTGTACTGGATGTTTCAATTCGGAAAAGTTAATTTATGATGAAAGATTTTGAAATGAACGAGAGTTTGAGTGATGTTAATTCATTGGCATTTGTACTTATTGACAATCCAAAAAAAATATCTGTCAGAAAAAAGTTGAAGAACATATGTTTTTATTTGAAAAATAAATTTAGTCGCTGACGATACAGTTGGAATTTGAAAGAATAATGATTAGAACCTACTTATAGTTTCTGCTGAGTCATTTCATTGGCTTTTTGTCTTTCAAAATCGGACAATTAATATCGGCGATATGGCTTGTTGTGTTTTCTGTCAGTCCGCCTGTATGCTAGAGCATGAATAAATAAATAAACAGATGACAATGTGAAAATAACCTCAACGCTGTTATCAGTAAGATTTGGTGTACACTGGTTTCAGGTATAACATCCTGAATTCTTCATTCCTCTTCTATTACTTATTGCTTTCAAATAAATCTAATTATATAGGAGTTTTCATAAAGGTTGCATTTAAACCATCCAAAGATCAGCAAGAGCACATTTCAAACAAAAATTCACAATTTTATTAATTATTTAAACATGTTGTATGTCTGCAATTTGTTCATGTTCGCATAAGTTTTTATTTTACTGCAATAATTTGAGAATTCATATCTTGAATGGACGTATACATCAAATAGGTAGTTCTGCTGATGGCATCGATTTTCATCAATTTTATGTAAAAAAAAATTGTAAAATTTTTGTAAAATTTGTATATCGCTACTTCAAAGTTGGAAACTCCCCAGAAGTCGAAACTTGTGCGGGGTTAGGAAAAGCTGGACCTACAGATGTCAGAGTAGTCATGTCTTTCAGAAGACCTATGAAATAATATTATTCTAACAATCATTATTACCGTGTATGAAGATATCGTCTTCAACCAATCGTCGTACAGATTGAACAGGACCATCTGGGGCTCGGTGGCTTTCAGAATCAAATCGCCGAACTTCTCGATTTTCAGGCAGGCCTGGAACGGAAGCTGCAACTCCGAACCCTTGATCACGATGTTCGGGAAGTCGAGCAAATGGACTTCCAAAGGATCCAGCATGCCCTTCCTAGTAACGATGATTTGCTTGGGCTGCTCCTCAACGGGCAACGAACGGATCAGAGCTGCGACTTCTTCAGCAGTTTTCCATTTCGCCAACTGAAAAATGAGAAATATCCTTTGATAAAATCGTGGAAATGCACAATAGTATTTCTGTGGTATATTCACAGTTGAAAAAATACTCTTGTATTGACCAATTTGGCTACACACAATAGTATCAATTCAAGTTGAATAGTAAAACTGAAAGAAATTAGTTTATCAAGGTATAGGTGGATATTAAGGTCTGGTACAAGTTTTTTTTTGACTAACGTATTTTTGCCTGAAAAACACGAATTTCATAATGAAAATGTGAACAAATCGCTGTTTATTGAGATATTTTACAAAGTTCGAAATTTCACCTTCTTTTGCCACCCATCTTGGATATTCATTTACATCTACTCTTTCTTGTTCCATTACTGGACAATTTATGTACTGACATTGTACTCCAATAACACATTTTATTTCCTAAAATCACCGATGTTCATTGGATGAACGAGTCTTTGGAAAGAGATGTTCTGCAGGTTCGGAAATCTCTGCTATCATCCCTTCACTAGCAATACCAATCAGACGAACTAGACAAGCCCAGTCAGCACATCCTTTCGTTGTCAACCTCGGAAGATGTCGAACAGCACTTTATCAAGACTCTTTCATCCATAGAGCGGCTAGGCTCTGGAATTCACTGCCTGTGGAAGTATTCCCAACAACATATAATCTCCAAAAGTTCAAAAAAAATTCCAATACCTACCTCCTGTCCCTATCCTCCCCAGGAACGCACGATGTTCTTTGAACATTATAGGGATTCCCTTTCGTGCGCTCCAAGCGATTAAAAAAAAAAAAAAAAAAAAAAAAAAAAAGGTCTCCAAAGTGACCATGAAGGGGTGCGAAGCGTCAACTCTTTCGTCAGAATTCGAAAATTCGGGAGGAATTTGGATATTCAAGATGGCGGAACCAATATGGCGGACGAGTTTCGTAATTATAATCCGATCCTTTTCGAAATTGGTATGTAGAGGTTTTCGTGATCAGGGATTATGATTTCTTCGTCAAAATTAAGAAATTCAAGTTGACGGATTTTGTAATTAGGATACAATTTGATTCAAATTTGGTATCTGGTGGTTCTCGGGGTCGGAGATTATGATTCTTTCGTCAAAATTAGGAAATTCAAGATGGCGGACCCAATATGGCAGACGAGTATTCTAATTATGATCCGACTCTCTCCAAAATTGTAATCTGGGTGTTTTCGGGGTCAGAGGTTATAATTCTTTGGTCAAAACTTGGAAAGGGCGGGATTTGGGAATTCAAGACGGTGGCACCAATATACCGGACGAGTTTTGTAATTATGTACCGATTCTATTCAAAATTTGTAAGTGGGCGTTTTCGGAAAAAAAATGATGATTCCCTCGTTAAAATTAGGGAATTCAAGATGGTAGATCCAATATTGCGGACGAGTTTTGTAATTATGTTCCGATTCTAACATTTTCATCTGACGTTTCAGGAGTCGGATATTGTGATTCAAATTCAAAATTGGGAAATTCAAGTGAACTAAAAAAGAAACTACTTTTTCAGGTTAGATATAAAATCGAGGATTGTTCACTATTTTATTTCACAATAAATTGAACCTTTATTGAGGTATTTTCTTTGATGACAAATCAAGTATTTCAGGAAACAGTTTAGGTAAATTTTTTCAGCATTAAAACTATGTTTTCAAGAATGCACAATTGCACAAAAAATATGACTGTAACAATGCGAATTTCATCACAATTTTACGTGTTTCAAAAGACGAATAAATGCTGCATGAATTTTTTTTTAGTTGGAGTAAACGAATCATAATTCATAGGGATAAATCTAATTACATCAAATCGTGCTTCTTGTATCTGTTAACAAAAACACAAGGATTTGATTGAAATTGGCCACAAGGCTTTCAAGTACATAATGAATAAAACACCGATTTATTTATCAAACATGACAAGAAATAACCCCGAAATTTTTTCACGGTTATTGAATTACACCCTGTATAAATCATCAGCTTGTAAGGGTCTTTTTATTCTGGGGCCCTTACTTTGACGCTCTGTTCAGGGCAGGAGACTACTCTGGTATTTGACAGGAGGGATTCTCGAGCGCCAGATTTTTGATAAAGGTGATTTACTTCACCTGCTCCTCCCAACTTAGTCGGGAAGGAGGCCCACAGTAGCAACAGTGGAGAAAGGTACAGGAGGTATACCTACCTCGGTACCCACAGTATAATCCAGGGGTCAATGGTATTGAATCGACCTGGAATCAATAAGTAGCCAAGGGAGTGTAGGCTTTAATTACAAACCCTGGGTCTGGCCTGGAATACTGGTTGCTATTCCTGGTCTGGATAATTACAGGAATCAAAGCAAAATATCTCTCAGGTCTTTGATATTTTAAGGTTAGGTCTGGAAAATTATTTATTCAACTATTTCATCATTTCTACCTGGAGAATCGGAAACACAGTTCTAAACGAATTAAACAGATTCAATTTCTATTTATCTTTTCTTTTCCTTCGATTTTTCTAATTTTCTAATATCGGATTTTTAGTGAGGTTAATTAATTATATTTTTCCATTAATGTCAATAGTTCATAAAACATAGAACACCGCCTGACGGGATACAAAGCACAGAGACACCGGTGCACAGGACTGGATTTCTCAAGGAAAAGAAGAAGAAGAGTTGTTAACTGGCTTGTCAGTGTCAGTCGTCAGTCATTAATAATATTCTGCAATTTTGACAAATGAACATATTGAAAATCACTAAATAAATTATTGAACTATTTGGAACTGAAAACAATGACAACAGAGAAGGAAATATGAAATATGCAATCACAAAATCCGTTTATTCAATTTAGAGTTCTGGATTCTTTACACAGGTCGGGTGAGTATCGGTGTGAAAAACAACAGGAATGAAATGAGGCTATAAACAGGATGAATAACACTGGTGAAAAATATACAAACTTACATGTGTAACAGGAATCACTGTACAATACTATTTTACACTGGTTTTGAATGAACTATGAGAGCACTAAAAGATCAGCTTGAGAATCAGGAGCTTGAAGAGCAACGGGGATCAGGTAGTGTAGACTTGTAGAGAAGAGCTTAGAGAGTGACGAATCCTTGGCTGTCTTCAGTATTTATGCACTGCTTTGGCCTTGGTACAAGGACAAGTGAATCTGGAACCTCATTGGTCAAAACTCCCACCTTGTCATGGCTCATGGCCATGGCCACTAAATCTGTCCTTGAAAAACACATGTGCACCTCCAACACAAAACGCGGAAAAAATAATATTACACCCTAAATGGGCACAGGAACAGGATCTACTACCTTTGCTTATGCTACTGAATGAATTTGGCTGGAAAATATTCAATAACAACAAAGTTATGAGCATTTAAACATTCATCATTTCAACTGATAAATAATTCAATCAAATTTCATATCATAAGCAAAGGGTTGAAAAATATTGAAGTCTTTAGGGTTGTAATGATGTTCATCAGCTTTTACTGTCAGAAAAAGCTTTGTGAAGTCAGGAATCAATGCATTACTCAGCTCTCTCAGGTTTTCAGGTTTCGAGCTATCGAACAGGTGAAATTCAACTAGAATCAGTCTCAGGTTACTTAGATATTAATCAAAACCAGTCTAGTAATGAAGCTGGTCAAAAACACTTCATTACAAGCTAATACTTTACCTGTCCCAAACGTTTCTGCCCTGCCCATACGGACGTATGGATGATCTTCAAGAACAACTGCCCTGTCCTCGGATTGAAAATGAAAATGGCCCCGTTGATGGGCTTCGTCGTCAAATTCCCCTCGAACGTCTTGTGTATGGTCACTCTGTACACGTTGGTGTCGTCCACGAACCAGATGATCTGGTTGGAGAACAGTTCGCCGTAGTTCTGGCTGGACAGGTACGGTTCTGTGGGTTCGCTGGAGTACAGCTGCAAGGCCTTGCGGATGCGCTCGCGCAACACGTACAGCGCAGGATTCGCCTTCATTATTTTCGCCATCGCCTGTTGTATCAGCGGTTTGCATCCAGGGAACCAGTTTCCATAAGCACTAGGCAATAATAATGATTGACACGTCTTCAACATTCGAAGAAAGGACCTCGAAAATTTTTAAGGTGAATTGGGTCCCAGTGGATTTTTTCAATTTTTGCTATAATGTAGTTCATGTGGTTCTATAAAATATTTTCATTGAGCCACCCCTAAAAAATAGACAGTTTTATTGCCAGGGGGGGGGTTTGAGTTCACATATTGATCGAATTGACCATTTATTTCTGGGAAAATGAACGATATTCTAAATCTTTATATTCCATTTAATTACTTCTGAAAATAGATTTTTCATATGAAAATATAATGGGGGGAATTATTACCCCCAACCACAATTTCGAAAACCGAAAAAAATATTCCACCTGTCAAAAGTGATAGGATATGTTCCACCACGGATAATTATGGAATCCGCATTTTTGCATTATCACCCCCCCCCTCCAAATGGGGGGGGGGGGTGCAAATGAAAATAGATTCGGTGGATTTCGCTGAATTTTTGATATGATGTAGTCCATATGATTCTGATTAGAAAATCATTGGGTGACAATCCTAAAAAATTTACAGTTTTTCTGCTATAGGGAGTCTCAATTCACATTTTGGAAAAAACTGACTAGCATTTGATTCTGAATAGGAAGACAACTTTTTTCAATATTGCATTCCTATTCCTTAATGATTTTTCATTCGGAAATATTGAGGGGTTCTCACCCCCCAACCAGCTTAAAACAAAATCCGTTCTACTGTGAGAAGCATAAGAAAATGTTTCATCACAAGAAATTTTATGGGAAAAGCATAGACTCATTATTTACATACTTGTATGCATGTACTTGGACATGCGCAAACGGTATGCCATTTTTTCAGTAGCATATGTATAGCACAAACATGTATACTTCTTAAAGGTAGCCTATTTGAAAACAGGGAAAATGATTATTTCAAATGCAACTACACCTGACCGTGATTACCTTTTGGGCTCACGCAACCGGTACGCCTTTATATTTTCAATTGCGCATGTCGCTTATATTTCATTTTGGACCATCCTATCACCACCTGGCGGTCTATTACATATTTAGGAGTCAAGTCATAATGTGTGTCGGTTACTCAACCGAAAAGATACATAAAATGATGAAGATGGAAAGTCCTAATTTCGAGTGACAACGGAAAATGAGAACTCGACCTCCCTGCCGATTGATCGACGGATGAACCGTTAGCTCAATTGGCAGAGCGTTGGGCATGTAACCCAGAGGTTGTGAGTTCGACTCTCACACGGGGCGGTGGAGTTTTTTCATTTTCCGTTGTCACTCGAAATTAGGGCTTTCCATCTTCATCATTATATGTATCTTTTCGGTTGAGTAACCGACACACATTATGACTTGACTCCTGCGGACATTTCCATAAACAAGGAAAGACAATGCCAGAGGACGAACGGGGAAATATGGAGACTGTATAGTTAGTACCATCCTGCCAGCGATGCTTCGTATAGTGCATGATTTCGAGTGACTTCGGGAATTGGAAGGATTCTGCCGCCTAGTGTGTGATGAGAACTCGATTTCCCTGCCGATTGATTGACGGATGACCCGTTAGCTCAATTGGCAGAGCGTTGGGCATGTAACCCAGAGGTTGTGAGTTCGACTCTCACACGGGGCGGTGGAGTTTTTTCATTTTCCGTTGTCACTCGAAATTAGGGCTTTCCATCTTTATCATTATATTACATATTTGAAAAATGCTTCGAAGATGAGGTGAACAGCAAACCCATTAATCGTGAATAACACTGAAATGCAGTATTTCATTTTCTTGGTGCTTTGTTTCATTACACAAACAGCCACGAAGAAACAACAAATCAAATTTTTTTATGTGTTTGTTCTGCCATCATTAATTCATATATTGAGTTGAGAAATTCCAATTTTCAGCAGAGTTATTACATGCTCAAAATGCTCAAGAACCGTTTTACCAAACAAAACTGATCTCAGATCAGTGGAATTTCGTTTAGCAGTCAAGCTGGCATAGCAGTGTTACCCGTTTCATCAAGCAGAATCTGTCTGGAGACAATTCGCAGTAGTCAACGTCATCATCTGACGTTGCGATGATATGAAAGCTACGGGAAAACTCCTGTATTGAAAGTTAGACATATTTTCCCGTAGTTTTTAATGTCATCGCAACGTCAGATGATGACCTTGACTACCACGAATAGGGATTAACGAAATAACTATTAGATCACCGAACTGGCGGAACTTTGTTTGTCCTATTTGATGACCTAAACGAAACATGTTCGAAGAGTCGATTGAAAATGAAATTTGTTATTATTTTTTATTAAGTACACAAATAAAAAACTGGATATTAAACTCCCCTAAAAATTATTTTATTTCTTTAATTAACATTTAATGATATCATTAGATAAATTTTAATAATAATTGTGAATAAGTATGTATGAATATAAATAATTATGCGTATTGAATGAAATGCTCCGTACACTATATATTATGAATTGAATACTTGTCTCATTTCTTAATGAGACAATTTTCAATTGTGATAACTTGATATTGTTAAATATTTATTGACCTATGTACATTTATTTATTTTTTATCCTTACTACAAGGTTAACTTCGTAAGGTTTTTCCCAGTTTATTCAAATTACCTTTATGTTTATTCCAATGTATATTTTGTAAACGTTTTTGAATAAACTTATATTATTATTATTATTATTCACATATTCTCCCCTTTGCTTCGGTTTTGCTCTCGCAGTACGTATAGTGCGGGATTCGCCTTCATTATTTCCGCCATCGCCTGTTGTATCAGCGGTTTCCATCCAGGGGCAAACCGCTGATACAACATGCACTATGAAATGATAATGATTAGTGCGTCTTTATCATACGCGAGATTTTCAAAATGCTTCAAAAGTGTTGAGTTAAACAGCAAGTCCGTGTATCATGAATTTTCATTCACCAAACCAAATCCGTCTGAAGACAATATAGGGATTAACGAAATTACAATTGGATCACCGAACTGTTCTGCAACGTTGAAAGCTGACTTTCCTATTTGACGACATAGACGATACATGATCAGTCTATTGAATATAAAATTTGCTATAGGGAAATGTTAGGGTGTTCCGGTGACCAGAAAGTGAAAACATGCGAAAACAGTCCTTCACATACCATTCATCTATACCAAATTAAATTTTGAAATACCTATTATTTTAGAAGTTGTGACTTGTCTAATAAATTCGTTGACACCTGGTATAGTATCAATCCGTCTTGCGGATTTGCACAGGATGGCGATTAATCGATTTGATGTGTCGTGAAACGTTAATTGTAATCTGTTGCTTCACTTTAGAGCTAAATTGAGATCAATGCTGTTAGTGAAACTGGGCCTTAAATTACTTCAAGCCACAAATCTATAACAGATCATAACATATTTCAAATCGATCATTTGTTCTGTGAAATATAATTTAAAAACGACCAATTCGCGATGAAATTAAGTGAAATATTTTGTTGTTTACCTCTTGTTGGAAATTTGACGTTTTTCAGCGTGTATTGTTTTTTCAATGCCATCTGGGCCCCATTCTCAAGATATAATTTATGATCATACCAAACAATATACATTTGAAAACCATTGTAATTATATAACCTACCTGTGCAGATTATAAGCCAAATCGATGGCTATCAAAACTCCAGTGGGCGATGGATATATCGACATATTGTCGGTGGTGTAATCCAAAAACTTAGCCCTGGCATATCTTTCAACATCATGAGAATCATAATCTCCCCATCTGAGTTGAACGTCAATCCAATATTTCTGGGTGGTCGTATTATCCATTGTATCTCTGTGGGATAAGACTGAATCAGACACTGTATCAGTTCTTTCTATTACAAAAATGTATTCAACTATTGATCATTTATTAATGTATTCCTTCACGACTGCTGGAACAAAAACTCACTTTGTATCAGCTAACAATGACGGTCTGGAAACGTTCCATTTGTAAGCCGAGAACAGCAATATATCTGCACAAGATGAATTCATCTTATATGATTTCCTAGGGTGGATCGTTTCTTTCTGGACAGTTTCAATTTCCAACGCATCCAACTCTTGATCGAACACCTAGGAGAAATTGCGAGTGTAGGCGTTTTGTTTGAAACAAATTGAATTCGAATATTTATTCATCTAACTCAGATTTTTTTACTACTTCTGATTAGACTTTACGTCAAATTGAGAAACAATCGTAACCCTAATCATAATGATCATTATTAATTGTGGATATTAATGAGAAAATGTACCATAGAAATCATAGTTATTATAGTTAATGCAATTGTCCCAAAATACACTATATTTTTACATCAGATAGGTGAATAACTTTCCTTTGTACCCTAACAGTTCCAGTATTCTTTTTAAACCACAATACAAATCTGGTGGTATAAGCAAGTTTAGCAAGAGATTCAGCAACTGTTGCCAGCATATACTGTTATCTACATTAAAATACCTTATAATCCGCGTTAAAGTGTGTAAAGTTAGATCCTCCACATAAATAAAAATATTAGAGGGCCTATAACAGACCCTTGAGGAACTTCTCGCGCAATGTATCTGAATTTCTACATGTTGTTTTAAATTTTTACACTAATTTTTTTCATTAATGAATAAGATGACAACCAGCACAAGAAAGCACCTCTGAAGCATAAGGCTTACAGTTTATTTTCCATAATTATTTTAATGCAATCAATTGCTTTGGGTAATTAAAAAAAAGTGCACCCACCTAACTCCCTTTATCGTGATGACAATGTACTTTGTTAAAACGGCTGTCAAGCAAGAACCCATGTAGATGTTTTGTTATGACATTGAATTTGGATAGAAATGATACCATATGTTTATGAAAGTAGTAACAGAGATAACTTCTAGATTGATTGATGTTACATTTTAATTTTGTTATCATGATTCTAAATAATTATCATGAAAGATTCTCTAATGTGTTTGACTTTGAAAATATCAATTTTGATCAAAGCAACATTGACTTCCAGCAAAGTAGACTGAAATGGCTGCTGGTCATATTATTGCATCATCATATCAGCCCACATGTCGCTTGGCGTAATCAAGACATCATTAAAACACTGAAATAGTGCTCAAGAAATGCTAACAATAACAGATTAGTAGTTCATATCAATATATGTCTCTTAAGTCATGAAAGCCTGAGCACTTTTTATAAGACTGCTTGAAGAGTTAATTAATGTCATCAGTCACATTCAGTCGGATATGATCACTGCAATTCAAGTGTTGTTCAGAAAGTTAAAAATAATGAAAAATTTCAATGTTGCAGGAGTATACCCTATTATAATTTAATTTGATGAACCATAACCACATTAGCAGAATAACATGGGAGTAATAAAGAATAGTGCAACTGATGATACTAGATAAACCGAAACAGTATCTTACATCAGCTAACAATCGATTCACAAAAATCCCCTAGAATCTTCTAGTCTTGGAATTCTAAGTTTCTCAGGGCGAGAGATTATTACCAAATATTAAAATAACGACAAAAAAGATGAAGTACAATGAGCAATAAAACATTCATCATAAAATTCATCAGATTGATCACATATGATATCGAAAATGAATAGATAAAAAACTCACCTGACAAAGATCCATAACAATAGATTCATGGACTTTTTGCCACAAGTGAGCCCTGAATATCTGGATCAACGAAATTTTCAGAGTGGGGATCTTGCCGTGCATGAAAATACCGGTCAAATCGAGTTGCACTTGAAAACCGACGTACACGTTTGCTCTGTTAATAGTAGGCGACCACCACAATGTAAATCGCCTGTTAGGAATTTGATTCAAACCAGACCGTTGGGCATTGGTGAGTTTTTTATATTTCATAGATTCTTCAAATCCAGATGCCTTTTCCCTAAAAAAAATCACAAGGTTATGAATACAAATAATTTAAACCTCATGACAGAAAGACTATCAAATGGCACCATTGAAAAAATATGTGCATATGTGGAAGGAACAATCTTGTGGATTCCAATCAGTTCAGTTGTCCTGATGTGACATACAAAAAATGTTTTTCATTTTCATACATTATTGTCTTGTTTGATGTACTTGTTTCAAAATCACCTCGTAATTTCCTGAAAATATGTCTCCCAAACAGACAATTTTCCATTCGATAGATATATATCGTCTAAGATGAAAAATGAAGAACAGAAGTTTGTGTATTCTTACCAGAAAAGACCTTCCCACGTTGGGAAATACGTTCCCTTGAATAAAGTGTGTTCTAGAATTCCTTCCACACCACCAAGTGCTTGAATCATATCTGTTCTGTAGTTATTTAAGTTCCACAATTTCCCGTCGTGACGCTGATGAGTCCACCAGAAAGGATTTTGTTTTAAAACCTATAAAAAACAAAGTCAAAAGTCGTAGGCGTCTATTTATATAGCTTCAACTTTGCATACTGTACTTCCAAAATAACTTGATGAATTCATTATCAGTTTACAGATTCAGAAAATTTCCTTCAGTAGTTATGGAAATCTCTATAAAAGTCAATAGTGGAAGATAAATTTATGCAAAAATGCATGTAGGTCTATTTTCAGTATTTAGTAAGGCCTAATATCTGAAAATGTATTCGAAATTGTGTATAAAATTTCTCTAAAAGATTGTGTATAAAATTTCACTAAAAGATTGTGCATAAATTTTCACTAAAAAATAATATGATTTTGTAGGAAAAAAACACTGCATTTTGAATGCACCGGGTTTTGTTGTTTTGTTTTTCATGCTATATTTCTGAAATTTTGAAAATTGAATATGCTCAATAGAGAGCACTTCACATTTTAGGATTTTTTTCATCTTCAGGTATTCTTGAAATTTACATCAACTTTAGATGTACAAATAAGACACTAGAGAGAAGTTTGGATATTGCCTCGTCACATCCATTGAGCAAATGGAAACTTCGAACGCAAATATCTTCATAATCGTTCAAATTAACCCTATCAAACCGGTATTGTTGAAATTGTTATGATAATCTCTAACTGATTATAGAATAAGATACAGGGTGTTCCATTTGAAAATCGAAAGTGGATGTATTTTCCAGGAAAACCGGAAGATGATAAAGCTAAAAAAACAAAGAAGAAATGGGGGGTATACCATGAGTCTTTGTCTTCCGGTAGATATAGAAGATTTCTCCAGCCCATTCACCAATACATACGATGACTAATTATGATTTGTTTTTAATTATATCTTTCATGATTTGTTCACTTGCTACTTCAATGATTCATCATTTCAATAATAATTATGGATAAATGAACAATCCACAAAAAAAGAACAATGTCGTTGAATACTTCAGAAATGTTACATTGTCAAAGCCTAGGACATAAAAACACAAAAATGAAGTTTCAACATGTTTGCATTGATTCATTCTTCACCCTGAATCATTGACCCACCGCTATTGAACATGAAGGAACATGGTATCCTAAATCTGCAAACTGAATTTGAATGCATCAAGTAGTTCTTGCAGTGAACAGTTCACGATCAGCAGTCTAGCTATTACGTAAACCCGTAAACAAAACACAAACCTGGTATTGTTTGAATTCCGTCCTTATCCTCCACCCCTTATCGTACGCCAGCGTGTGCCTGTCCTTCTGGAACAGCGTATTAATCCTCGGAATCCCCCTGTCCCAAGAATCCTCCAAGTCCTCCAGCGTCAACCTCCTGTTCTGGGCGTTAGCCTCCTGTCTCTTGAGGGCGTACTCCGCCCACACCCTCTGCGAATCAATAAATTCCGACTCCCACGGCTGGATATACCGGTACAAATTCGGGATGAGCTGGTCCTCGTCGTGGCTGATTCCGGACCGGAAATGGGTGATTCCCACGTCCGTTTGCTTGGACCACCTCAGGTCCGATTGGGGAATGAGGACGTGGCCCATCGAGAGCATGCCGAGGCCGCCCAGCTCTTTGGGCGTGTAGAAGACGACGGGAGGGAATCGGCTAGGCATTTTGGAGTTCAGGCCGATTTTTATGCGCGTTTGGATTTTGTTTTCGCATTTGACGAGGAGGTCGAGGAGTTCTTGGGTGTTTACTACCGCTTCCCGGAAATACGTCATCAGACCGATGAGGGCCGTGTTCCATTTGTTGACGATCTGCAAGAGGATGAAGCAAATTGCGTTTTGGAACATATTCAATGGCAGGGATGTCATCTACATGACATTGAATGCATGCAAATTATATGGATATAAAATGAGAGGTGATGATAAATCTGTAGTCTTATTCCATTCTCGAGGAACAAAAAGAAACGTTATAACGTTGAGACATCTTAATGACAATTGTCAATGAAGTTTTGTAAAGAAATTTTGTTACTGCAAATAAATAAACAAATATTGACGGCTGACATGACCTCCAACCTCTCCAGTGCCACCTGCCAAAAGCTTTCCAGATTACGTGCCATTCACTCCAGTAGGCATCATGGCATCAAGAGATAAAACTACAATTTTTGAAACACAAAATTTTTTACCAACGAAATAGCTTCATCAGGCGAAAACTCATACAGCAACTGTGGGGTTTCATGTTATTTCAACTGTTTTAATGATCTTATGAATTATTCTTGAATATTAGGTAACTCTTAAATTTGTACACGTTATATTTACATTCATGTTTTTGAGTTGTAATTACCTACATTATTATAGTAGATGTATTACTTCATCGGCATTACTCTGGATTTGCAATATAAATATAAACGTTGGTAGCTCTTAGTGGAGTAGTGTATTTAAGCAAGAAAGAGCTCGCGAATCATCTCCATGATAAGTCAATATTGTCGATTTATATAAGGCACATGTCTTGGACCCAAAAGGAATCCATTCCCAGCCTGTGTAGTACAAAGAAATCCTACAATGAACTAACTATAGGACACAAAAATAGGAGGTAGAATGTTATGAGCTACTTACATGTAGATGAAGAAGTACTACATTTTTTTGATCCGAATCCAATTTTTTGTGCAACCGAAAGAATTAACTAAAATAAATATGTGAAGTAACCACCAATGCCGTGCCATATGTATGCAATGTGGTGAGAATCTTCTACCAGCATTAACATATCAGGTTTATTCAATTTTCAAGGACGTTCGAATTGTAGTTTCAATATAAATACAACCAGAGAGTGACCTATTTGTGTATGGACCAGGTGTCAGCCCTCAAAGCAAATACCGCAAGACGTGGAAAATGTTAGGTTGGTGAGCATATCAACAATAATAATAGCAATTATTTGTTTCTCTCCATACTCCACTGTGTTTGGCTCGGTAATCAAATCAAGGCAAACAATATCATTCTGTGAAGCAAAAAACTATTGCTGGCCGTGATTATTCAAAAACAAGTTATCAATGAGAATAACGAATGAAATATAAGTATGTGATTCTTGAAGGCTTTCCTGATCCGAACAAAAATGTTCAACTATAATATGGTGTATTTATATCTCCAGCATGGGTATGACATGCCAAATCTGTCAAAATCGGAAACAAATCAGGTATGCATCCCAACCCAAATAACCAACCGTAACAATGTTGTTCATTCTTGATGACCTCTAGTACATCCTTTTTAGTTTCAAGGAGCATAACTTCAACTTTAGCTCCTAGGAACTTAAACTGCTGCCTAGCAACATACCTATGTTTGTGTCAGTAATAAAAACGTCAATTCAAGAGCTAATTTTGGTATTAAAATGGACGACTTTTGTGTCGGTTGCAGAAAAAAATAACTATTGGAGGTCTACCTCTTTACAATCCTCATAGTGGGGAAAATAAGCTCTAAAGAAAAAACTTTCGGCGTAGTTGTAAACCGAAACCCAGCGGAAATACATTTCTAGCAATATAACTCATGACATCAATACCGGCTAAGCGAGTATGGCACCAGATGATGTGGATGTAGTTAACAATAATAACAAATTCTTGAACAAAATAATATTTGAATTCATTGAATATCAAATCATCTCAAATGTGTACAAATTCATCTTAAATTGGTGAAAAAAGACCAATATTATGAGGAATTATAATGCTAGTTGAGTTCACCTTTCCACATAAGCTGTTTATATAAATAAATATATCAGCCTGGGTGAATCTTTTGTGTCTTATTATAGAGTTAGCAACATCAAGGTGAAGTAGTCATGTTGTCTCATTTGGTGATCTTGATTTTCATAGTTTCTTGTTCTAGGACCAATAAATAATAAAATGAAAACAAAAATTGATTTCAAAGTAATTTTTATATTTAAACATATACCAACATCTCCAGTCCATTACCTGTACTTTTGGGGCGTTGCCATATTGTTGTGATTGAACGTCAAACAAGTCAAACAAGTATGTAAAAACAAATACCACTTGATTATTTCGAAGTACGTGTTCCTATACGCCGAAAATTACGTGTTCTCATTGGTCAAAATCTGTATCATAATGAAAATCCATGTTGAAATGAACAATATTATAACTTGGTAGCAGATATCCAATTATTGTTTGGTAAACAGTTGAACAACTGAATTTAAGCGTTTGTTTCCTTGTCTATTGAGGATTTAGTTAGCCTGGATAGCCTTGGGCCTATGAAACTAAATCGAATAACGAAATTATTGATGATATTAGATAATCCTGGTGGATACTTGGTACTGGATCAGAATCCAACCCAAATAACAAAATTATCCTCATACCTTCGTGAATGTGGTGGATCCGGAAGCCATCAAGATCTGACGGACCCTGTTGTGGAATCGACTCATAGATTCGTCGTCGACTCTCAAAAAGCACTGGGCCGTCCTCTCTTTGCTGCCCTCGTGCTGAAGATTCCACACGCCGTCCCTGTGGGTGAATTCGTCGTGCTGCGTTCGGCATTTCGGCAAGATTCTGCATTCGAATCCGGACATGTTGAAGAGAAGATTCGGGTTATCCTTGGAGTAAACGCTGACGAAACTGTTCTCCCATTGGATGGTCGTAGTCGACCTCGGCAGTCGGTTTTTGATGTCCCAGAAGACAGCTCGTCCCCTAAAAACACATCCATGAAAATATGACGAAAGGCTTGTGGTTAAATGTGTGTTACTCACAAGTTGACGTCGTGTTTCATGAGACGCATTCGAGCGTCTCTTGGCCAACATTTCTTGTTGTTATAGCCCACGATGTTCTCATTGTTTGGATCTGGATGCTCTGTCAGATATCTCTGAATGAGGTCTTTGGCCTCCTCTGCCGAAAATCTACAATGAGAAAAAAACTTATAACATAGATTTTAGTAGAAGTTTTTTATGGCCACAAATTGAAAAATTAAATCCATACAAACATTTTCTGTAATTCTCAAAATAAATATTATTTGACCCTATGACAAATTTTAATTGTGCAAATCTCGAGAATCTCACCCAATGAATGTGGATTTAATCATCTCACATAATATAAACATATTTATCTGAAAATTATATCGTATTCAAATTCACATGTTAAATTTTACACTTGTCCATCGGATATGACCTTTCGAGAGGGGCGAAATATTCTCGGAAATATTGACGCTCTGCCACTAACTTAGATCAGTTTGAATCGCGGCACGTTTGGATATTCGCAAAGGAGACATTATCCCCTTTTATTTGCTTTTTGTTTGAACTTGTTATCACATGACGTAAGTATGTGCGGAATCATGGCCACAAATGAATCACTGTGCCGTGGATTTGACCATTCAAATGGTATCGGATGGCATAGTTCTTATCTAGATATCAAATCGCGAAATCCAGTGCAAATTACCGCACAGGAAAGTGCCAGTTTTCAATCATTTTGATCAGGAGAGTGATGGGCACAGGTGGCGTTCGATAAAATACAATTTTTTTACAAGCTTTTGGGACATATATCATTTTCGTTATCAGATACCGGTTGAAATTGGCAGCCGGCTCTTGAACTTATTACATAGGTATATTTTTGTTGACTCCCATTTTTTATAATTAGTCCTGGTAATTTTCCAACTATAACATCCTGAAATTGGAACTTAAAAAGTTGATGAGACGTTAGGAATATATTCGAAAAAAATAGAATAACGCATAAAAATATTTTCCACTAGGACAGCGGAATAGCGCAGTGGTTGAGGCGATTGACTAGTAATCAGAACATCGAAAAGTTACTAGGTTCAAATCCTCGGCAGCACAGATAATTCTTATTCATAAAACGGGTTATAATTTCTAATTTTCGTAGCCTCAGGCGGAGAGGATCCCGCACGATTCGCGGTTGCTTTCCAATTAACAGTGCTGCTCCTAAGGTGGCGCATGGAGTTAGTACAAAGGCCTACACAGAACACACATGGCTGAAGGGCCTCTCGTAAGGTCGATGGCCAGTAGGTATAACAAACCACTCTTGCGAAACAGCATGTTAATATGTTTGTTCAAAATGGAGAAAGGAGATCGATGAAGGAAATGTTGTGATTAGTGTTTTTGTGGACTTGAAACTAGCGTTTGAAACTATTGGTCGGAAAATGTTGCTGAATAAATGAGAACTGTATGGAATGAAGGGTGTTGTGTTGAAATGGTTAAGAAATTATCTTGAAGACCGATTTCAAAAAACCAAATATCAAGTTCACTGTTCAGAAAAAGTTGGGACTGTATATGGGGTGCCTCTAGGCAGTGTATTGGGTCCGCTATTGTTCATTTTGTATATCAATTACTTAGGCAATGCTTTCGAAAATTCTTTTGTCAATATGTTCGCCGACAATACCCTAATTTCGATATGTTTAGTTATACAAATGAATACAGAAACTGGTTGAAATATAATAAGTTGAAGCTTAATGTAAAAAAATCGAATTGTATGGTTCTAGGCTCAAAAAATAACTTCAAGTCATTCTCGAACGAAAACCACGTTATTCATATAGAACAGGAAGTGATTGACTTTGTGCAGGAGATTAAGTACTTAGGGGTACAAGAAGATTCATATTTGAACTTTGGGCCACAAGTGAATAATATTTGTAAAAAATTAGGAAAAAAAATTGGATATTTTAGAAGAATCTAGAAAACGAACATTTTGGGCTAGAAAAGTAGTGTATAATACCATTATTTATCCACATTTTCAATATTGTATGTCTTTACTTATCTCATGCACAAAAAGTGATGTACAGAGAATTCAAAAGCTGCAAGATAAGTGTATGAGAATATTACTTAAATGTGATAGACACACAAAGATCACAGATATGCTTAGAATGCTGAAATTTCTGAATGTTCAACAAATGATCGAAGAATCAAATTTATTACTGATATACAAAATCGTGAACAAACAGGCTCCTATGTATCTGCAATCTTTCCCTGTGAATCTCCATATAGTAAGATGTAACTCGAATGTTTTACAAAAATTTCTGTTCATCCAGGGATCGCATCATTTCAACAGCCTTCCACTTATTGTCAAAGTAGCACCAAATATTGAAATGTTCAAGCTTATGTTGCGAAAAGTTTACTTTGAGCTTTAGTATAGTTTCTAAAGTGTGTTTCCTAACTACGGTTTCTAACTGCAGGGGGTGATTTGTTAGGTCATTTAAAGAAGAAAAGTTCTCATGAACATATGTCCGGAGTTGCTTCGTTTCTGGGATACAGGGCGTTGAAATTAAAGGAAAAAAAAAGGTAATTAAAATATCATGAATATCCTGGAACCGATATGGTTGAAATTTGGTACTCTTATTTGTCAAATTTTCTAAAATTTCAGCATATCAAGTGTCAATTATATTTTTGGCGGAAAAAATGAAAAACTCATTTCTCCAATGCAGGTGTGCATGATATGCAATACAGTGGCTTTAATTTTTTTTCTCGAAAATGAAGCTGGATATGAGGAAAATATAGGAGACCAAAAAGTTGTATTTTGAGTTGCTTAATCAAAAAAATTACCAAAAACAGTCAGTGGCGTACTTTTTTTTACAATATTGTTGGCTGTGGTGCCCACTGAGACACCACTGGCCCCAATAATTTCAATCTAAATAGGCTAAATAAGCGCCTTATTAGTTCATATAAAAGTACCAAATTTCAACCAAATCGGTTCCAGGATATTCATGATATTTTGCAATTACCGTTTTTTTTTCTTCAACTTCATCGCCCTGTATCTCAGAAACGAAGCAACTCCGGACATATGTTAATAGGAACTGTTCTTCCTGAAATGACCTAACAAATCACCACCTGCAGTTAGGAACCGTAGTTAGGAAACACCCTGTATAGTGAATAGCTATTTCAAGAATTTATACTTTGTGAATATGCTTATACAGGGTGATCCACGGTGGATGGTCTATTCGAAGTATCTGGAGAACGAAAAGACAGAACATTCTGAAAATTGCGATTCTTCGATAATTGAACATTCTCTATACATCTAAAATATTGTTGCCACTTCTATTAGAAACAACTAGCTACTTTGTTATGTTATTTCAAATGGAACACCCTGTATTTTATTGCATTTTTAGATTCTTTCTAGAGAGCTGATTTCATCAATGCATCACACTTGGGGTCTAGCAGGAATGAGTACAGAGATATAGGGTGTTCAAAATCGAGATTTTTCAATTTTAAGATTTTTTTGTGTCGAAACTATTCATTATCGATCAAAACGGCTTACATGTCCCTATCTTAACTTTTGATTGACTATCTACTGGAATTTGATTGGAAAAAATACAGGGTGTTCCAAGATTCAGAATTCTGATCACCCTGTATCTGTTCCAATTAAATGTCAGTAGATAGGGATTCGAAAGTTAAGATAAGGACATGTAAGCCGTTTTGATTAATAATGAATACTTTCGACACAAAAAAATCCTGAAATTGAAAAATCTCGATTTTGAACATCCTATATCTCTGTAATCATTCCTGCTAGACCCAAAGTGTGATGCATTGATGAAATCAGCTTTTCAAGGAGAATCTAAAAATTCAATAAAATACAGGGTGCTCTATTCAAAATAACGAAGTTGCTAGTTGTTTCTGATAGAAGTGGCAACACTGTATCGATGAAAATATTTTAGACGGATAGAGAATGTTCAATTATCAAAGCATCCCAATATTCGTTCTCCAGATACTTCTAATAGGCCATCCACCGTGGATCAGCCTGTATATTATTGTAAAAATATGATGTGAAACTAGAGAAAGCTAAATAAAATCTTTCAAATCAAAAAAACACCAACACCAGAACACTCACGGCTGAAGGACCTCTCGTGAGGTCGATGACCAGTAGGTATGACTACTACTACTACTAGTTTCCCCTACCTGAAGAACATATGTATCCGGTCCACGTATCTGCAATACAACCGGATCGGATGACAAGCCTCCGTCTGCACGTCCTGGAACGTCAAAAAGTCGTTGGGCATCTGCGGCGGCCCCGCCATCTCGCTGGCCCTTTGCAGGCCCAACACCAGCAAGTCCAGCACCAGCCCGTAGTACTGCGTGACGAAGGAAGCGAACTGCAGGCCCCTGATGATCAAGGATTAACTCAACAGGATGGTCTATCCGGCAGTAACCAATCAAAAGTGTGAACGACATTATGTCACGCCAACCATCGACTGTTGTGTGTGATGAGAACTCGACCTTCCAGTTGATTGATCGACGGATGACCCGTTAGCTCAATTGGCAGAGCGTTGGGCATGTAACCCAGAGCTTGAAAGTTCGACTCTCACACGGGGCGGTGGAGTTTTTTCATTTTCCGATGTCACTCGAAATTAGGGCTTTCCATCATCTTCATTATTATATGTATTTTTTCGGTCGAGTAACCGACAAAAAAATTATCGCTCACTTCTATGTATAGATTGCTTGCGGACATTTCCGTATACAAGGAAAGACAATGCCAGAGGACGAACGGGGAAAAATGGAGACTGTATAGTACCATCCTGCCAGCGATGTTTCATATAGTGCATGATTTCGAGTGACTTTGGGATTTGGAGGGATTCTGCCGCCTTGTGTGTGATGAGAACTAGACCTTTCTGCCGATTGATCGACGGATGACCCGTTAGCTCAATTGGCAGAGCGTTGGGCATGTAACCCAAAGGTTGTGAGTTCGACTCTCACGGGGGGCGGTGGAGTTTTTTCATTTTCCGTTGTCACTCGAAATTAGGGCTTTCCATCATCTTCATTATTATAAAAATTAGGGCTTTCCATCATCTTCATTATTGTTGTAATTTTGTCAAGAATTTTCAACCTCTGATTTTGTTTATGCACTTCAGGGGTTTGAAGGGTACTTTAAATCCCTAATTTCAGGGAAAAAGTGGTTCTTTAAACCCCTTTGAATTTAAATTACCACCTTTTTCCCGAAATCTAGATCACCATATTTACCGAGGTCGTTGATATGGTAAAAATCAGCCCCTTCGATGACGTTTTAGAAATAGAATACCTACCGTGTATATTGGCATTTGTAGGAAACTAAAGAGTTGGATACAAAATTTCGCACCTATTTCGATTGTCTAAAGAGGATTTTTCCCTGTTAGTTGAAACTGTTGCTAGAATTTCATTTCTCATTTAGACGGTAAATAAATCTGAAATAATCAACCGGAAGTACAGGGTGCGGCAAAACAAACAGTGCAGTTTTGAAGGGGTATAAAAAAATTGGTACAACTGACGAAAAAGTGGATTATTCTGTTCGAGTCAGTACTATATCCCATTCTTTCACTTGAGTTTCAAAGATCAAATCAACAAAATTATGTCAGCTATGTCAGCTATGTTCTGGCACATATCGATCGAAATGATGGTTACTTCCTCTCTAATACGGATCTTCATTTCTTCCAAATTGCGAAGACGATACTTAGAAAACTTTTCCTTAAGGTAGCCCCACAGGAAAAAGTCTCAAATGCGCAGATCCGATAGAGTTGTTCTTCAGCCAACCATTCCAATTGGGTTGTACACAATAGTCGAATTTACGCCACATACCAATTTTATATAGAACATTCCGAGTATGAATAGTATTTTATGCAATCACTCGTTATTTAAAATTATCACGAATACTTTTTTTTTCAATAATTAAAATCGGCACCTTCTGAAAACGAAAGCTCTCGATAACGTCATACACCTTCTCACGTGGCAATAGTGTTAGAATATAGAATCCATCTGCTACACAATTCTCACTACTCAGTACCAGAATCACAATGGAATGCAATTGTACGGGTGTTGGGTTTATGCAGTTGCCATATAGTTGACACATTTTTCCATCTTGATTCAGATACATATTGCGTATGAAATGTTTCCCACGACTTTGTCACAACTACCCTGGCATTGGTAATTCAGGAATAATAATACGCACACTTTCAACAACAAAAAATGCGGCCGCTACTGCTCTAATTAAGAGATTTTAACACAGAATGGAGACGTGCTGTGATAGTGATATTTGTTAATATATTCCTCTTTATTTCTCAACTACCAATGCGAGCATAACCACATATTTCGACGTTGCCAAACTAAGTAGTAATTACCTTAATGACCAATGACAACACTGTTTATATTCACTGAAGACAATGGTTCCACCCAGTCCCAAATAATCACTCATTGAATACTAATATTTCTTGCTTCAGTGCCAATTAGAATATGCTAATAAGTATTCCTAATGATGATCGTTGGCAACATCGTAATACTTCACAAAATTATCTAGAAAAGAAAATAATTCGAACCTTTTTTTTCAATATCATCTTCATCTGTCACCTTCATCCTCAAAACCTATCATCTAGTCAGTTTTGTGTTGTATTCTGTTATCTGCAGTAAGTATTCAGTCCATAAATTTTATTTCATATCATGATTGAAATGATCAGAAATATTCTTGTACTTGTCTTACAAAAATAGAGGATACGTAGTACTTCGGAATAATCAAATAAAAAGGTCCACTAAATCCCGACTCAAACAAGAATTCGGGAACGTCCATGAACTCCAAATTTAGAAATGGCATATCATACGATCACTTTCGGGGAATGGAGATTTCTCGTGATTTTGGGTCGTGGGTCATCGTCCAACCAATAACGAAAATTTTGTATGTTTACTTCTCCACGCAGATGGGAGGCTTCATCACTACTTCAGAAATCGCCTACATCAATGTATGGCTTCTGAAGGACATCATCTTGCTGATGTTATTCTCAAAACTCAAGTAAGAAAATGGGGTATAGTGAAGCAGAGTAAACCACTTTTTCGTAAGTTGTGCCACTTTTTTTATACCCCTCTAAAGCTGCACTGTTTTTTTTTGCCGCACCCTGTATTACAGTATATTTTTAACACATCTACAAAAAAATATGTAATAACTGTTGAAGGTTCAACTATAATAACAAACCAATTAAGGAAAATTTGACTTCAAAGATGAATCTGCAGGAATTCTTATACATCTTCTATCCGCCAGGAAATATTGAATCAATTTCAAGACCAAACGTCGAATATCGAATAAAATGAAATCCGAAATATCTGTCAATCTGTCATTTTCAATCATTGACTTGTTTACGTGCACTTATCAGCGATGGTCTCGTGAACGGTATAATTTCAAGTATGTGTCATAAAAGAACCCTTGCCTGATGATGCCGTAGCTGTTCGTGTGGTTCATGTCCTTGTAGTTGATGACGACGTTGTTCTTGGCCGTCATGTAATCGGCGATGTTATGGTCGACGATCAGACGCAGCAGTCGGTTCAGCAGGGTTAAATCAATTTTCTCGTAGAGTTTCTCGAATTTCGACTCGAGCAGGACGTTGCATTCGCCTTCGTTCACCTGGTATGATGGGAAGAAGTTCAGTAAGGTGAGAAAGTGAAAAGACGATGTGACTTATTCAGATGTTTTCCAATGATTCGATGAGAATGTTTCATTTGAACTATTACCCACAGTTTATTATTAAGCATACCTGGCTTGTATTGATAATATGGATATTAAACCATAGCCCACTTCCACTTATCAAGCCATGTCATTGACTAATGTGGCAACACTGTTTGAGTGCGGTCGGTTGATTTTTCCGTTGCAATAATAAATATCTCGTTCAGTGAATTGACAATAGTTTTGTAGAGTCAAGATTGTGTGAAGTATATAATATTATTATAAATTAGTCTAAAAACCATCCATCCTTCTCAAAGTGGTCCAATTTTTTTCAAAGGAAAAACAGAATAACACCAAGTCACATTACATTTTGTGTAATATAATTTTTGTGGTCGACCGACTTGGTGTTATTCTCTTTTTTCTTTATTAAAATTAATTAACAGCTATCACTTTACTGAACTCGTATTGAATTATTCACATTCAACATTCAGGCAATACAAAGAGTTAATTAACTGTTCAATATTGTTAGAAATTGGAATGTTTGTGAATTGAGATCATTCTTCTGTAGAAATTATTGAACATTTATATTCAATTCTTCTTGGATGATCGACATTGACCTGAGAATATTTTTTTTGTAAAAATTATGGAACACTTATATTTCATTTTTCTCGGACGATCGAATTTTACTTCAGAAAATATTTTTGAACAAATAGTTTCAGTTCCTCTACCATTTGTATGACATACTTAGTGGAAGCCATGTTCAAATAGGGCAAATGTGCCGGTTCGATTTATATGTCAATATTCAGAAATTCGGCACTGATTACAAAATCACCCTGTGACGAAGGTATAATTAAGTTCAAAATTTTTCTTATCTGAAGTGATAAGTGACGAAAAAAAAAACAACTACATTCATTGCTTCACTAACGTTAGTCAGAAATTATCATAGCAATTGTTATGACTGAGAAGTATTTGACTCTATTATTTGGAAGAACACGCACAACTACTTCAATCACTTTATTCGACAACCGTTCGATAGCACGAATCAGTCAGAACTGCCTCACATTATTCATCCTATCTCTATGACAAGTTATTACCTAAGAACATATGAGTCAGTAACGATTTCTGGCCAGGAACCCGCTCCAATACTAATATACAGCGTGTGAATATAATATGATTATAATAACGATAACAATAATGATAGTAATAATGATAATATAAATAATAATAATAATAAAAATATCTTATAATGATAAGAATGACAGAAATAGTGATATTTTACTGATGATAATAATTATTCAGATGATGCCGGGCTCCAGAAGATTACTTGGGTCGTTACACAATATTTCCTCTATATTCAACTTCTACGTCATACTTTACCGCCCCAAGAATGATCAATTGATGTAATTTGAGAATGGTTAAAGATATTAATTATTTAAATAGTAATTTTATAGAATATTACATTGTAAACTACACGGCCACCACAGAACCAAAATAAAATAACTTAGTAAACCCGAAACTATATTCAACAAAATATTAATTATACAGTAACAAAAGTGATCCCGACCGAGAGCGCTTCGACAATGACAATGGTCTCTCTGTGTGTTACGTATCTCACGTATCTGACACCTCATCGCTTCATCACACCAGTGATATTCCTTGCATTCTTGAGATAACAGTCACAGTCGGCTAACCTGACAAAACTTCACGTCCTCGTGAAGCAACGGCTAGATCCTGGATCCTGAAACAATGAGATTATGTCGATATCACTGAAGATAATATACAACCGAAGAAGAATAAAGAAAAAGAAATATTTATTCCTCTTCGGTGGAACTGCCCTCCGTTGACGAGACAGTCGTTAAAAATAGTTTCATTCGTTCAGACGGACATATGCCCGTGTAGGCTGTCCTTGAACGTTTCGACCCTGGCAAATCATTTACCACGTACCGATCGTTATCAAGTACTTTCGTAACTACAAAGGGTCCTTTATAACGTGGTTCAAGCTTCCTACTCCGCCCGTCATTGGAGGTCTTATTTGCTTGAACAAGAACGTGTTGGCCAACTGTAAACGTCTTTATATTAGCATGCTTCTTATCGTATATCTCTTTTTGATATATTTGTTTTTCCTTAATCTTTTGTGATACATCATCTCTGAGATTTTCCAAGTCACGATGTTCGTCTCGTGTCTGAGAGATCTCTGATGTAAGGAATGCATCGTTCACATTCCGAGGTCGGTATCCAAAGAATATTTCATGGGGAGTTTTACCTGTGGTGGAATTAACCGTCGAGTTGATTCCCCACTTCACCTGACTGACAGCTTCATCCCATCGGGACTCGTCTACAGTGGATGCCATTAGAGAGGAAAGAATCGAACGATTCATCCTCTCGGCCTGTCCATTCGCCCGTGGTGTTGCTGTAGCACACAATACTCGTTTGATTCCCAATTCATGGCAGTAATCGGCAAATTTCTTGCTCGTAAAAGCTGCCCCTCTGTCACATATAAGCCTTCTCGGAACACCAAACATTTCAAATATTTGGTTTAGAAGCTGAGTGACAGGCCCCGTTTTCGTATTTGGAACTGCTTTCAGAAAAACATATTTTGTGAATCCATCAACTACAACTATCAGATAGGCGTTTTTCTTTACACTAGTAACAAAGGGCCCAAGATGGTCGATATGAAGGGTGTCCATTGGAATGCTTTCTCTTTCGATTGGGTTGAGCCTTCCTGGCTTCTTTCCAGATGGCACTTTATTATACATACATCCCAAGCAAGAGTTTATGTAATTCCTTACATAATTCCTCATGGCTGGGAACCAATATCTGGCGCTGACAGCTTCCAAAGTCTTGTCCACTGCGAAATGCCCGGCACCATCATGATAATACATCAATATCCTTCTACGAGCAGATTTCGGAATCACCCATCTATGTCCACCAGATGTTATACGGTAAAGGCGTTTTTCTTTCAAACAATAATTCTTCCGAATCTCTTTGTCCTCATCCTCTGACGGTTGTCGTGATAAGGTTTCTATCAGCCGCTTGCACTCGCTGTCCTGTAATTGTGCTGATAGGACCCAATCATTTTCATCAACACTCACTAACATCGCATCGACATCTGAAGTTGACTCGTTACTTATTGGCGGGCTTCTACTCAAAGCATCCACATGTACCATCTTGGTGCCAGCCCGATATTCAATTTCAAAATCGAATTCTTGTAGGGCGAGCCACCACCTGGCAATTCTTGGAACTAGATCCCTTTTCATCAAGGTATGCCGTAGTGAGTTGCAGTCGGTCACTACCTTGAAACGGATACCTATGAGGTAAATTCTGAATTTCTTCAAAGTGTTGACAAGGGCTAAGGTTTCTAGTTCATACGAGTGGTAATTTTGTTCCTCTTTCGTAGTGGCCCGACTAAAATACTGAACTGGTTTTAGAACGCCTTCCCCTTGTATTTGCAATAATATACCACCTAGCCCAACTTTGCTAGCATCGCAGTGAACCTCCGTCGTTGCATCTCTATCATAAATTGCCAGTACAGGGCGTTCCGTAAGTTTAGACTTCAACATTCTAAATGCCACTTTTTGCTCACTGCCCCAAACAAAACTGAAATTTTTCTTAGTTAGGCATGAGATCGGTTTTGCAATGGCAGCAAATCCTGGAATGAATTTCCTGAAATAGCTTGCCAAACCAAGAAAACGTCTCACATCATGTACATTTGTAGGCTCAGCAAATTCCGATACGGCTTTGATTTTGTCAACACCTGGTCGAATACCTTCACCGGATATTTCATGTCCTAAATACTCAATTCGTTTTTGAAGGAAATGACACTTACTCAACCTCAAGGTCATTCCGGCTTCTTGAAATAGCCTCAACACGGATTCTAAATTTTCCATGCCTTCGAGGATCGATTTCGATGGAATGAGTATATCGTCCAGATATGCCATGGCAGTATTGAAACGTAGAGGGCCCAGTATTCGATTGATGGTCCTCTGGAAGACTGCAGGGGCGTTAACCAAACCAAAAGGCATTCTCAAATACTCATACTGCCCATCTGGAGTAACAAATGCTGTCTTTGGAACTGATTCTGCCTCCAGAGCAATCTGATGGTAACCTGAAGCCAAATCCAAACTGGTGAAGTACTCATTGTCCTTGAGAGAGTCCAATAAATCATCAATTCGTGGTAGTGGATATTTATCCTTGATGGTTTTTCTATTGAGAGCTCTGTAGTCAACACACATTCGTTCCTCTCCATTCTTTTTCTTAACCAGTAGAATAGGACTTGCATATGGTGAGTTAGACTCACGAACAATATCATTATCAAGCAAACCCTGTACTATATTCCTTACCCTGTCCCGTTCCGTGAAAGCCATTCGGTATGGGCGGTAGGTAACAGGTGTATCATCACTGAGTGTAATGGACATTTTCGTAACATCTGTCTTACCAACTTCATCGAGTGACGTAGCGAAACAATCCCGGTATTTATTGAGGAGTTTCAAAATATCGTTTCGTTCAAGAGTACTCAGTTCCGGACTGAGCTGTTTCTCAATATCATTCAGGTTGAAATGCTGGAAATTCTTAACTTCCATTTTCAGACACTGAAAAGATTTAATATTAGAATCCTCAGAGCACGTATAACCTCTGGCAATTACTTCACCTCTTTCGTAACAAATTTCACCACCTGAAGAATTGATAATAGGTAAACAACCACCTTGGTTCACATTAATGACACACCTAGGTATTATGTGGAACTTGGTAGGCCAGTCCCTGTATTGTAAGTCGATAAAAACATCCTCAAAATGTTCGGTACTATAAGTTGCAATGATACCCATCTGGAGAGGAGGAATAACAGTCCTCTCTTTAGCAAAAAGACTGATTTTTCTGGAAGGCAATTGATTCATTGTTGTCAAATGGTTTGGATTATGATTGAATAATCGTATTTGGTTTCCATGGACGACAACCATTACGTTCTCGTTATTTATAAACGGTTGTCCCACGATGACGGATACATTTTGAGCTGAATCAGGGACAACTAAGGCTTCGACCTTAGCTGATGCCAAATCAACCTCCAAAATTATTGAAACCTTGGCATCGACGCAAACCGAACCGCCTCCGTAACCACGTAAACGAACCATAGCAGTTTCGCATTGCAAACCCAACCTTTTAACTTCCGAAACTTTTATAGTCACAGCGGCACAGCCTGAGTCAACATAACCCCGTAAAGGTTCCCCATTGATGACACAATCAATGAAATAGCAAGTATTCGAATCAGAATTCCCACAAATGTTCGAGAGCTGTAAAACATGCGTGGACTTACCTTCAGCTTGCCGGTTTTTGCCCTTCCAGGTGCCTGACTGAGACCCTACAGTGCATTTATCTGACTCGTGACCTAATAAATGGCACTTTCCGCATTCCAGACGTTTTTTAGGGCAATTCGATTGGAAGTGTCCGCGCATCTTGCAATTGAAACATTGTACGTCCTTGATATCCGGTTTCCGATTTCCTAGGAGACTTTTTGAACCGAGAGAATATCTCAAATCGGTTCTTGAAGGTCGCTTGGAGACATTTTCGACTCGGGTCTGCTTAGCTGTACTTGATTTACCATCACGAAGCATCGAAAGGTATTCTTCATACAGTGCCTCAGGTGTTGCGTAACGACCTGCTCGGGCACCATTTTGAATCGTAACATCGGTGATTCCGTCAATAAGGCATGACACTGCATGTCTGCCAGATATTTGGCTCGTTCGCAGCAATTCCATTTTGCTGAAGTAATATGTGGTCATTGTCTCGTCTGACTGTTTCACCCTGTCTAGCATTTTTCGTAACACCATTGCGTAGTCGACATGATCTGGAAAGGTTTTGACGATCAAGACTTTCCATTCGGGCCACGTACCAGGATAGCTCGTTAAGCTATGGTACCAAGTCCTCGCCATCCCCGACAATCTTGATTGCATATGATAAATAGTTGTGATGTCATCCCAGTTATTCACATTTTTCAGCTGATCAATTTTATCCAACCACTTCAATGCTGATAAGTTTTCATTCTCCGGGTTGAATTCAGGAATGCAGTCACTCCGGACAGAAAGACGTCTACTTTCTGGCTGTGTACCTTGTCGCACTAACAATTCTAACAAATGTTCGATGCGATCCACTCTCGATTCTACTGAACTTGTTGAAGCTTGATCGATAATACGTGGACTATTATGATTATCAACTTCTGCTGGTACATGCACGATAATTTCTGGTGGACTTCCAGAACGTCGTCTTGTAGTGGAAATGTCACTGTATCTTTTTCTTTTTGATCCACCTTCGTCTGCAGGCATTTGTTGTAATCTCTTTTCTGGGACACGATCGTTCTTCTTCCTGGATGCTTTTCTATTTGATGATCCCTTGTATCTACCATCACGAGAGCTATCAGAAGAATCACTCGAATCACTCGAATCACTTGTAGAACTTTTGTGTTTTCTAGGCATTTTCGTATACGGTACACGTTGACGTAACAGTCGGAAATTCCAGAGTCGACTATGAATGTTCACCCCAACACCTGAACTGTAAACTACACGGCCACCACAGAACCAAAATAAAATAACTTAGTAAACCCGAAACTATATTCAACAAAATATTAATTATACAGTAACAAAAGTGATCCCGACCGAGAGCGCTTCGACAATGACAATGGTCTCTCTGTGTGTTACGTATCTCACGTATCTGACACCTCATCGCTTCATCACACCAGTGATATTCCTTGCATTCTTGAGATAACAGTCACAACATAATATGTGTTGTAAGAAGCATATTATGCACGAATGGAAAAGTAATTCCATGAATACAACACACATTACGTACTATACTTTACCTACTGCCATATAGTGCATCAAAAAAGTTTGGACAAACAGTCTGAATTATAATTCTTGACAGTTATGTCATCCGCTGTTGACTGCGATTACGCGATCATGACACACCTATACTGGCGGAATAAACGAAAACTATGCGATGTGCTTACTGTGCATAAAGAGCTACTTACTGAGGCTGTATCTCGTGTGTTCTTGCCTACTTTCTATAGTGGCCGTAGGGAAAATTATTTTCACTCATATATGCATCACTAATACCTATATGTAGAATAGCTGTCCTGCGACCGACATCAACTTTAGCCTATTTAGGAGACGTATTGGACTAATAGTAATTGATGCCGACGTAGGGAATAAATAATCTGATATCCATAATATGGCCGCAAATTTCGGATTTTCAAATAGATTTTGGCACACGTCATGTGCACATAATATCTACTTTTCCTTCCCCTAATTCTCCTTTTCTAACCTCCGTGGATTTCTGATGGAGGTCAGTATGTTCGTCCATCTTAGTAATTTGACCTTCCTGTTGAAGCGTTTCAGTACCAGAGATTTCGAATTTTAGCCTTCCATAACGCCATACATTGGCCCACATTCTATATAATAGATGCAGTTAGGGCATCAATGGATTCTTAGTCTTTTAATTCTTGATTTCTACCCAATTGAAGTGGCACAAAATCACTATTTTAGGACGTCAAAATATTCTTCTGTCATTGAAACGTCATAAGAAAATTTCCGATTTCATACGCTGGTGGGTACCCACGAGAAAAAAATGTCGACTAAAATACATACGTTGCTATGGTTATTTGTCATAAAAACCCAATTCAACTGTATAAAAATCAATGTGTGGAATTTTCATAAAATCAGCTTGGAACTCTTCAGTTATATGTCCACGCCGTACAGAATGGCGTTCGATTAAGTCCAAGTCATTTTTATTTTCAAAATAAAGCAATTCCCGATTTTTGGGGCTGCAAGCTGTGACGTATATTCTGAGTCTAGTCTGAATTAAGCTGATGGAGAATATAGCTAGCGAATCCGGTATAGGCGGAACTATGCAACATATTTTATTGGAATGTCCTAACCACATAAACAACTCAAATACTATACTGTACAAAAAAGGAAGGAAATACTTTACAAAAAAAAAGAAGGAAGGGAGGAAGGAAGAATAAAAGAAAGAAAGGAAGGAAGAATGAGAGGATCAGCTCTCAGTATTATGCGCTGTTGCAAGATATAATCTGCAACTTTCCTAGAAAATATATCCGTTTTATATTCCGTTTTATAAAAAAACGAATTCATTTGCAAAATAATGACTGACAAGTTATAATTATCATTTTGGGATATAAGGAAAGTGAAAAATTATAGATACTATTGCAGAATATCATAATGAACCTTTATTAGTAAACAACCAGCAAATAGATTTATGAAAATTATTTATAAAACCCGAAGAAGTAGGTTAAAAAAATCTATTATATCCCATTGCTGTTATGATATAGTTATAATGTATTCAAAGAACAATTTCCGGAATTCTAGACATATTGATGATGACGGCAACGTCGTACTGACACAGATATAGTATTTTAACTCTATGTAAATGTGGCTTTTTCAAGTAGTTTATCATAGGAATGGTGAAGGAGCAAAGTTTCTTTTTCATTCATTAGTTTCTGAAGTGTAATTTGATCTTACTGACAAAAACATGAACCATATACCAACCTCCCACACGTCCTGCAAATTGTTGACTCCCTGACACCACTTGTACACCAACAGCGGCGGCGGCTCCGTGTCCGCCGGCTTGATCCACGGCGGGAACAACCGCCTTTTGTCCGCCTCGTACCACAGATACTGGTCCAAGTAGGCGTCGGTGATCTTCTCCAGCGGCTCCACGTCGTACACCGGGATCAAGTGGCTGTAGAGGTCCATGAACTCGATGCCGACCTCCTTGAAAGCGCGCTGCGTCAACAGGTGACGCTTGATGCGCGACAGCGCCTCGTGCGGATTGTCGTACGCCTGCTCGATGAGGCCGAGCTCTTCTCGCTGGCTCTGGTTCAGGCGCGACTTGACGCTGTACGCTTCCTATGATCAAGCAATCAACTCTTAACCCATTGGCTCATCGTCTCCTCAAGTGGGGACAGCCTATTCTAATACAATTTTTATAAAGCTTAGATTTTGTTCTCCCCAATCTTATATCAAACTCTCATCATAATAATAAAGTTATTCAAAATGTTGACATAATATAAATTGAAAGTATACATATTGGTGTTGAAGAGGAATATTCTGGCTATTCGGTAAGTCATATTTCTATATCATTATTCATCATATTATTCATCCGATTTGAAGATGAATGTCAATTCTCAATTTCGGAGGATTTTATTCTTTATTTTTCATGTTCTCCTTTTGAATGTTCATCAGATATAATTCAATGTTCGACGTGGCAAATAGCCAGGAAAGTAGTTGTTTTCTGTTGAATATTCAGAATGATGTGTGCATGTACATATTTTATCTGAAAGAGAATGCAAATTCTCAATTTCAGAAGTTTTTATATTTTATTTTCAAACTCTTATCGTGTGTGTTCAATAGATATAATTCAATGTTCGTCGTGGCATATAGCCAGGAAAGTAGTTGTTTTCTATTGAATTAACTGAAAAAGAGTAAATATTCTCATCACATAGAGAATGCGAATTCTCAATGTATTGCTTTGTATAAATATATATCCATTTTTGTATGTTCATAATTTATCTGAGAATATTCCTTTTCAACACTTTCATACCCAATCAGGGGGTTCAAACTTGAACGATGGAAACTTGTGATTTTTTCTCTAATCGCAGATTTGTGATAGAGTATCAATTCAGATTTTCTTTCCACGCCCTGTATGATGAATGTCAATTTATCATACACCCAAAAGCATACATATTGGTATTGAATAAACAAAGAAAACCTTACGAAATATAACTTGTTGTAAGGCATATAAAATAAAAATTATGGTTATTAAATCAATTGATTCATTCGAAACAGAAGTAATTAATAAATAAAAATGTATTGTTTTCCATTCAATCACTGGATATAAGTACAATTCAGTACTGTTTCAAATTTTGTATAAATAGATATTAAATATAAACCAGAGAAGCAAATAAACTCCTTGAAGAGACTAATATCCAGTTCTTTATTTTAGTTTTGTAGCAATAAAAGGATTTGACTTCTTTAATATCACACGGAATTTCATCATACAAATAAGGAATCAAATATTTATAATTTCTTCGTCCGATTGTTTCATTAGATTTATATTTGTTTGTTTTGTTTGTTCTATCCGTCATTCGGTTGCCCCCTTACGAGCAACCCTCAGAAGTCATTGACCTTTTAACGTGTGATCCCGTTCTATCCGTCATTCGGTTGCCCCCTTACGAGCAACCCTCAGAAGTCATCGACCTTTTAACGTGTGATCCCAAACACTTTCTTGGGCCATCAGAAAAATGTCTGTTGCTGGGATTTGAACCCACGACCGGCAAGCGAATGCGGATTAGAATACTGACACTCTGTCCGCACGGCTACCTGGCCCCCATTTCAATGTTCTGTTTTTGTTTCTTATATCATAGGGATATTTTTTAATTTGATATCATTTCTGTTTTTGAACATGTAATTGATAAACAATAAATATAAAGCTGATTTATATCCATCTTTTGGGATTCTTATTATAAAAGGTCGGTTGGAAATAAATATCGCAGTGACGTCATGCGCAGAATAGACGAATATTGGACTCTTGAGTAGCAACCGATACAGCCGTGTAGAGCTGTTCTATAAATTTTCTTGGTGACATGTCAAATGCGGAACCTGCCAAAATCACTTTGTTGTCTAGATATTCTATCATTTATTTTTTGAGTATTTCATACTCCAGGATTTCTTAGGGCGTTGTACTGTTTTGTGGATATGGTGAGTCAAGATCACAGGCTATCAAGGTGCACATAACCCTAATTCACTTTTATTTATGAGTATGTGATAAACGGCCAAAAAAACTCTTACAGGTGGAGAGCTCTTGCAGTTGATTGAATAAAGGTTTCCAGATATTTTGAATGACAGAGTTCAGAGAATTATTTTCCATTGGCTCGCTTTGTCCCTATTTGGGGACACGCCCATGACCCCAAGGGGCCATTTCAAATTCAAAAATGTACGCCAAGGCACAAGAAAACTTAAAGTCGGTCGACCACAAAATTCAACAACACCAACGTGTCAAAAACGATGTTGATTGGTCACATGTGGGTCAATTCGGCTTTTGCACTGGTAGAGTAACTCCGATAATTTTTAGCAAACAAGAAATATCACTGTAATACAGGAGATACTGTGAAAATGGTCAATTTTGATTGGTTCTTGAAAACAGGAGTGGATTAGTTATTAGGACGCTCTCAAATATATGCGTTCGTGGATAAAATCATATATATATCTTGGGAGCAAAGGTTCATTTCTTCCCATGTGTGTTTAATGTCCTTCGCGACGCGTCGGGCACCAGACTTCACTTGCGGGAGGAAATGGATACAGTTTCGTGTCAACATTTTACAATAACAAGCTTTAACACCAAGTTAACATCAGGTTTCCATAATTAAATCAAATCACAAGGAAGTTTTCATTTTTTCATAGGAAGCTCCATTGAGTGAAATTTTAGCGTTTTTGGGATTGTGCATTTATTTCAGCAAAGAATTAGAGTAGAAATTGCATGAAGTTGGTGTTTTCTCCAGATAATATAATGAAAATCCCTTTCAGAATTCATTTTTTCTCTAAATGTATAGGAGAGATTTTTGCATATTAGATTTACTATAGTTGAGGCAATCAATCAACTAGTTTTGAAGTCAACTGGCTTTCAAAGTAATATCTTCACGAAAATAACTTGAATAACAGTTATTTCTGTAATGGAATTGTCGTAGGAAAGCCATCAACATTTGTGCTGACAATCCCGTACAGATAACTCATATCGAATAATTGCCATGTCCGGTTCTGACACAACGTTATTGCGCATGTGCCTCAACTACGCTCGAATTTGCCCTTGCATAACCGTTTTGGTAAAACTCAATTTCCATTCTTCTCTGGGTTATAGTTCTGTGCTCGTGGCATCTTGGTTGTGCAGACGACTAAAATGTCATTGACATTCATGGTAAAGTAATTGAATTGCAAATCATCTGAAGGACTATATATCGTGGTAATTGAAAAACTTGCCTTGAGGCGCTCCAGCGCCAGGATGAGCAACTTCGTGTCGTGCTTGTACGACAAAGGCGGAAACGGAATGGGCGCGAACCGCCGCGACTCCAGCCAATGCACGGTGGTCGTGTAGATGGCCACCGCCTCCTCGGGCGAGATGTACGGCCCGTCCTTGAGGTAGTTGTGCTGCCGCTCCTGCTCGGCCTTCAGGTACAACCGGGTGAGGCGGCCGAGGTTCTTCTTGCAGACCGTTTTGTCGACGGTGGCGCCTCTGCGGATTCGCTCGCGGTTGTAGTGGGCCGTGTTCGTCCACCTGGATTGATTACGATAGTGTCAAGCTCGAAGTGAAATCCCATGAGCTGATTGATTTCCGGAACTGAATATTAAATCAATGCGCTAGTGAACTTTTTTTTTAAATTTTTTAAATAGAATCATCACTCAATTACCTTTTAATTCAATTTTTTTTTTTTAGATTTTCTCGGTGGTGCTAACATCATCAATATTGTAACTTATGTTGAAATACGAATGGGAACTTCTGAAATATTATATACTTAATAATTCATAAATTCTCAATTATGTATTAGTAATATCCGTACTTAGCTATAAAAAAGCAATTGTCTCAAAATTGTTTTTCTTATATGTTGTGTTTCATTGCTTATGATGAATTTCTGTTGATGATAATTATATTAATTCACACTAGAGGACATTTGGTCCGCTAAAGGTGACAACACAGGATTGTGGGCGTTGTCTTGTCAGTTTCCATCATTCAGCACAGCAATGCCAAGTCTCTATAGTCAATATTTACATGTTTTGTTATGGAGTATGAGAAATATTTGGACAAGCTGGTTGTTTGAAAAAGTCACAATTTAATAACTATAATATCATGGCTTCCTCCTATTAGGGCAAATGAAATATTTTATTTGAATGTAGTTTCATTCAAAGATAGGGCTTTAACAACTATTTGATAACTTTATTATAACTGGTAATCTGACAACCTTGCTTTATGAGTGAGAATGTAAGAATAGAGAACCTACTCCACAGCCCTCTCTTTGTGTGTCCAACAAGAACAGATGAACACATACAAATACATGTTGAGGAGTAAAATGCAATGATTCACTGTCAGTGACGTCATATGACGCAAAATATTTCCCACTATAATACAAGACCTGGAGCTTTTATTCATCGTCAATACTGTCAGAAAGGTGAATGAGTCCAATGAAGAGTTCAAATTGGTTTATTAGTCAATTTAAAATTACTGGATTCACTTGTACCTAATATACCTCAATAGATACTCAGTTTGCAACAACGTATACACATTTTTCTCCCATAATATCTACAAATTCAACAAAATCACCAATGGGTTAGAAGTAATAAAATGATAATTCACACACAGCTTTGTTTGTCCCCCGATGAGCTGATAAAAACGACGAGTGAGGCAAAAATATTGTTCAGGCAACCCGCAGTGGTTACGGATACCTATCTCTTTCTATCTTATGTTGGCTTATGGGAAGCGCCCGCATTATTTGAAATATTTTCTCGATTTTTGCATTTATTTAAGAGTAAACGTGATTAAAATATGAATATTCATTTAGAAAACAGGATAATCTTGCAATCAATTATCATTAAAATATTATTATTTTTTTATTGACCTAAAAATGAAATTTCATTTTTATTCTCACAGGATTAGGAAATCAAATGAATCCAAATATGAAATTATATATTTTCGTCCAAATGTCACAATATATTGTACAGGGTGAGCGAAGCACAATATGTCAGCACTATCAGAAGATAAAGAAAAACGATAGGAAAAATTTGAAAAGGGGTTCTTGAATGGTATTGAGTACCTAAGGTCCATTTTGAGCATAATTTCCATAGGTTCCTATTTTTCAATTAGGTCACTGCCTACAAACACATCCCCATTAGAAATTAAAAAAATACAATTCTCAATACAATATCCTTCTGGAAATGAACAGTTTGGGTTTCTTTATTGATGAACTTCGAAACTTGGGAGCTGGAAGTCATAGGCAAGAGGTGCAAACATACTTTTTTTCTCATCATTAATCAACTAAGTACCTACGAGTTTTCTTATTTTCCTGCGAGGATCAGCATTTTTTGGTAACAAATGCTTAGGAAATGAAAATATACTGGGCACAGCATCTGGTTTCAATAACCTGCCAGTACCTGGTATGTCTAAAAAGTCATGGAAGTATTCAACTTTGACAAATAATATAGGTATAGGTTTTGAACATATTCTGAGACTGGGACATTTCAAGAACTATATTTTCCAAATATCTAAACAATATACAACTTACCAATGAAATGACAATTTCCTTTTGTCTTGCTATTTCTTGCATCCAAAGGCGACACAATAAATCACCATTGTTTATCAATATGAAATCACAAACATTCTCAACGATCAGTTCACACCAACAAATTCAGTCCTTTTGATAAAACAAAACACGCCAAATGAAGAGATATTTCACATAACCAAAGACGATCACCTTATGTCTTCACTTTCTTACCTGTTTAGATGAGAGAAAAAAATCTAAAGTACTTCAATTATTAGACAAAAGAAAACGTAAAAACCAATCCACCATTAAACAACACGAGTAGGAAAGAGACAGGCTACCGTAACACAAGCTATCTTTGTTGCAGCTGCCCCTGACACACTTCGTGCTACTCGAGAGAACGGCCGTCTCCCTGCCAGGTGTTTATATTGAGTTAATTGGGTGACACTGCTCTATTGTGACAAAATAACATCGAATATCTGCACTTACCAATCGGCCTTCATCTTGACGTATCTGAGTATCATATTCTCGATGGGAATCGGCAACCCGGGCACCTTCCACGGAATATTCGCCTTCCAGCATCGCCACGCCTCAGACAGGTGCTGCAGGATCGTGCGCGCCTTGTTCTGCTTGATGCCCTCGGGCATCATGTCGACGATGTCGTGCATCACCGACGCCCGCAATTCCAAGTCGAAGTGCGATTCGACGCGCTGCTTGGTCACCGTTTTGGCCACGCCCTTCGAGTGCCGCCCCTCGAACTGACGGGACAGGAGGTTGCCCAGCCAGCGTTCGAGCAAAGGCGTGATGCCGCGCATGAAGAAGAGCCACACGCGCCAGCCAGGCGCCCAGATGCCGCAGCCCGGGCCCTTGCCGACCGGGCCCTGGAATTCGACACGATAATCTCAGATTATGGAATATGATGACACAAGCTAGTTTTTCACACCATACAGGGTGTCCGCTAAAAGGAGGTCAATCCATTAACCACATATTCCTCGAACAAAAACAATATGAGTTTCTAAATATCATTTTTCATTTTAGCTCTTCATATTCGGTATACAGGGTGTCAAAGTTGGAAATTAAAAACTGTTTTTTTCTAATTACTCGCGTATTTGATAAGATATCAATCTCAAAATTGGTACATTACTTCAGCACAAAGAGTTACATCGTGTGAGGAAAACAAAACAGAAAATAACTGTCAAATATTCAAGATACTGGGGGTCAAGTTCACACTTACCCCCATATTTTGTTTGTACGTGCGCTAATGACTTCCTATCTGTTATGTAATGACTGAAATTATGTAATAATTTACAATCAACTACTGTATAAAATTTTAGGGAGCGCCGATCTTAGAAGTGGTTTCGATATGTTTTCATAAGATTCATGTAATATAGTATTTGCAAGATAAGTAGTAAAAATAAAGTATGTTGTGAGAAGGAACAATGAGACTTTAGACTCACCAAATTCAGAAGGGACGAAGGGACAATAGGAATATGTACCCAACCTCTTGCTTCAGCAGTCCTATAGGCCACCCTTATATTGTTCCACTCACGCACCGACACGTAATAGTCGAAGTAGTAGTAACAAGTAGTAATTATGGATTATAGTGTGGTGGTAATCGTATAATTCACGAAGAGTTTGTCAGCACGACCTATGATTCGGTGAACTATTCGACACTGGTTTTCACCTGTTTATCCACTTTATCTCTGCTGCCTGATATTCTTCGGACCCGATTTCTTGCGAGGTTTTTTGTGAAACGCAGGATTGGATCGGAATAAATACAGGATTAATGAAAAGGAAAATTTGGATTTCGGTGAATGAACAAATTAAGTAATAAATATACTTATTTAAGAAAAGAAAATAATCTGAATTGAATATATCAATTTTGCATGCACCCAATTAATAATTATCAAAAATGAAAAAATATACAGACAAAATAAAACAAAAAAAGTTATCACGTGGTGACAAACCACTATCTATTTTCCTTCAAGTGTTCAATCATTTTTGAGTATTTTTTGTTTCCTGTAAAATTTCGATTGAATCATTTGTTTTTAAGATAATTCGAAAAGTACTGGTTATTGTTTGATGCCTATGCGGCTTAGGTAATCTCATAATGTTCACATACTCCTATTTATTTCGTCGAAATTGAAAGAGGGCGTATCTTTTTACGTACGAAAAGGTAAATATGGAAATACCGGGTGCTCGGAGCAAATGTACTGAAATAATTTTTACAAAAAAAAAAATTAAAAAGTGTAAAAATTATTTTAATACATTCGCTCTGAGCACCCGGTATTTCCATATTCACCTTTCCGTACGTAATAAGATACGCCCTCTTCCAATTTCGACGAAATAAATAGGAGTATGTGAACATTATGAGATTACCGTAAGCCGCAAGGCATCAAACAATAACCAGTACTTTTCGAATTATCTTAAAAACGAATAATTTTATCGGAATATTACAAAAATCAAAAAATACTCAAAAATGATTGAACACATGAATAAAAATAGATAGGAAGTCATTAGCGCACGTACAAAAAAAAAAATGGGGGTAAGTGTGTACTTGACCCCCAGTATTTTGAATATTTGACAGTTATTTTCTGTTTTGTTTTCCTCACACGATGTAACTCTTTGTGCTGAAGTAATGTACCTATTTTGAGATTAGTATCTTATTAATTACGCGAGTAATTAGAAAAAAACAGTTTTTAATTTTCAACTTTGACACCCTGTATATCGAATAAGGGCTAAAATGAAAAATGGTATTTAGAAACTCATATTATTTTTGTTCAAGGAATATATGGTTAATGGATTGACCTCCTTTTAGCGGACAACCTGTATAATGAATTATTTTTTATTTACAACCATATATGTAATGTTGTCACTACTAACGTCATTGAAGGTTGGGAAGTGTCGCATTACACACCTCTACTTTTTTTTTTTTTTTTTTTTTTATCACTCATGTAATAATTCAGGTATGTTCAGAACGAAACATAGATTTATCAATTTTGATCGAAATATGATAGTTGTAAATAAAATAGTATACAAACCTCGGTAGGGAGTTTCATACCTGTCTCGAAATTATAGCTAACCTCGACGCTTTGCGTCTCGGTTAACTAACTAATCTCACGACAAGAATGAATCACTTCCCACCTCGGTGTGTAATATACTATTACTTATACACGCGAGCATTCTTTGTCGAAGTAAACTTGACATTTCAATGAGAATTTTGTTGCCTGGAATTGCCTTAAATGAAAAAAAATGCATCCGAAAAAGTTACGAGTCTGTATAGGACGAGTAATTTTTTATGTCGCTTTTTTAAGTTGAATCTTAAGGCAACAAAACTCGAATTAGTAATGTCAAATTTACTTTGACCTGATCAACTACTCGAGTATAATTCGGTAAGACAATTTCATGAATACGTAAATCACATTATTGTTGATGGTTTTTTTCAATTTCTCCACTCGAAGGCTCTCCAAATGGTGACATTTCCATAGACTTTTCCGATAGCGCAAGATTGACACGATTCGACACAATAATCTTAGTTTATGGAATACGATGGATGACGCAGGCTAGTTTTTCACACCTATTAATAAATTATTTTGAACACGAGAGCTTTCCTTGTCGCACTAAACTCAACATTTCATTTTTTGTTGCCTGGAAATTAAAAGAAAAATATAGCCTTCGAAAAAGTTACAAGTCTGTAGAGACAAGTAATTTTTTCTGTCAGTTTTTTGAGCCAACAAAACTCGTATAATAAATTTCGAGTTCATAAATAAAAAAAAAGTGTAATTCGGTGAGACAATTCAATAAATACGTAAATCACATTATTGCTGATGGTTTTTTCAATTCCTCCGCTCGAAGACTCTCCTAATGGCGACATTACTATATACTTTTCCGACAGCGCGAGATTAGACGTAAATTTACATAAATGCCAACAAAAATTTGTTTGTCAATTTTGGTCGTCATGATTTCAAATGTTAGGTTCCGTTTTGTCGCTGAAAAAGTAAGGGTTTATTTAGCTGTCTTAATGACAAAATCAATGCAATAAAATTTTCAAAATAAAATAAATCATCTCCTTTGTGAGAATTTACTGCTGGGTTTCACAAAATAATGCGACTTGAGCCATGCACTGCTGAGGTCCTCAAATCTTAGGAAACCAAACGAATTTAAGGAACACAATACAATGGGTATTTGATTGGTTATGAATAGGGATAGTAGGGTATTCTTCAATTGAAGCACCTACATCGGACATCCTAACATTCCTAACAACTCATGTGGGGCACCACCGACGCCCGCAGCTCGAGGTCGAACTCTGCTGGGTCACCGGTTAGGCCACGCCCATCGAGACTACATTAAATATTGCTGAAACTTTTTCGTATGCATAGTTTTTGACAATTCAATCTCGGATTATGAAAATCCACACCATTTAACAAAAAAAGTGCTCTTGTTCCGCATCGATCAGATGTATCGTTTTCGAGTGAAATCGTTTTAAAAATATTGATGCACTCACACCTTATCCATAACGTCGCCCATTTTCAAATCATAGTGGCTATAATAAAATCAAGTACTCTCTTTTTGCCAAACAATATCATGAAAGCGCGAAAAATAGGAAAATCATGATGAAAAAAACTAGGTACTTCAATTTTTGTGCATTTTTTTCCATTTCCACTACGACTCATTGCTATGTTATGTATAATATCTGAAATGTTACAATATTTGTTAACTGCTTTTACTCGATAATAATACATCTGATCGGCACGGAACAAGTGTACCTTTTTTCTGTAAAGAGGTGTGAAATTTCATAATCCGGGAATAACTTGTTGGAAAATGTGCATACAAAAAATTTTGAGCAATATTTAATGTAGTCCCTTCCTGTACTATACACTCCTAATTGAAATTTTGGAATGATTTCATTTACACTGCATTGGGCATGAAAAGTTCAGTTCTGAGCCGTAGCTCCCTTAGAAGACTCATGTTCATTGAAAGTTTTCTTTCTATTTTTGGTCGTAGAAGCCGCTGGTGAACTTTGGCAGGCTTATTTCGGGACACCCTGTATACATACAATAACTTGAAATAAATCATTTCCTTTTTGAGAATTTACTGCATGGTCATAGTTGAGTACTCAAAATATGTCTAATGGAGGCAGGCATACGCCTGTTGATGATCTCAAATCTTGGTGAAATCAAAGGAATTTTAAAAATCTCAGATAATGGGTGTTTGATTGCATATAAACTGGTATATTTATGGTATTTTTTTTGTTCAAGTACTGATATCCTGATATTTTCAACAACAGGTGACCCTTCACTATTCTATTACCGAGTTAACACATTATAGGAGTTTTTGATTGCCGATTGGTTTCGACTACATTGATCTCACTTCGAGCACAGGGTCTTTGATTGGCAACCGCATTGACCGAACTCCAAATTATGACTTTTTTTATCGAAGACCAAGATCGACAGATCCACCACCAAATCGCCCTGACTTTTTGATGGTTGATTCAGTTCGAGGATATAAATTATAATCTCAAACAATCAACTTAATCAAAAAAGTTACTAGGGCATCATCTACAATATACAGTCCTGAAAGTGAGTGACTTGAACTGCTTATATCTTAACCGAAGGCCACAAAAGGGCAAGCACCAAAAGCCAAAAACAAGGTAGTAGTATCTTCCCTAGAGGAACTAGAGCTACTATCAGACGATGAGGTGAAAATAGCACACCTCGGAGGAGCTTCGAGGTTGAGGCTTAAAGCCCACCTAGAAAAGGGCCTTGATTACATTTCAGCCAAGAGGCTGGTAATCAAGGAGAACTTTTTAAAAAGCAAGGAACCCGCAAAGCCCTTGAGGTTGGGACCTGTAGCAACAACGTCGAGGGAGGCCGGTGAAGGC